CAATACTCGACAATAAAAATACACTGACCTAGTTTAATCTTTTTATAATGACTGAGGAGCAAAAAAACAACAATACCTCTCAGTTGATTAAAAAGATTAACTGTACTGGCAATTAGCACTCAAAGAATACTTCTACATGTTTTTTTTATAATTTGCATAAAACACAAATGCTAATCTTAGACATCTTATCTTTGGAAATAAAAAAGAAACTGTTTTTTCCCGGCACACATTACAAGGACCATGTTGCTGCAAAATCATTTCGAACTCAGACTTCATTGAACCAATATATTTTGCACCAAATTACCCAGCCACAGATTACTTTGCACATGATCATTTTGTACATAGACACAAATTTAACAAGTTCTTTCAATTCAATTTATCCCCTCAGTATATGTGCTTGAATATTTATTTTGTATCCAAATTAGTGATATAGACGTGAATGTAATTACAAAGTAATTAAGAAGCCTCAATGTCACCAGTATCAAGGCTTGTAAATAATCCGAGTCAGGACGAGGCAAACCGATTATTGAGAGATGCGCAACGTTCCACTTCGCCAGGTTACCATAACAGGCATTCAGTCATGGAGCCGGACCACCCGATCGGTTTCGTCCCCTCTCACGGCTAGAATTGGTTGCTGGGGACCTGGAATCCGGATCACCCATGGGTTTTGTATGAGGTAGTTGAGGCATGAATATCAAATTAACTTTTGGCAAACATCCATGTAATCCATTTACTTTGATGGCTGAAATATTGCCGACGTGACGTTTAATCTTAACTAACTCACTCATCCATTCACTTTGAAAAAAAATAACCTTATTTCACATCTGAAAAGTCTTCCGTTTCGTGTTCGTGTTTTGAGATAGTTCTTAAGTTCATACTTCAAGTCGATTTTCTTCAGTTTTTTATTAAAGGGTAAAATGTTGTTATTCTTGAGAACAAGGAAGCAAGTGAGGCAACTAGCGGGATCGGGAAGTCAGGCTCGCTGACGTGGTTGATGGATGGCATCGTATCCCCATTGCGTAGATCGATGCTCATGATGGCAATCACTGGATTGTCTGGTCCAGACTCGATTATTAACAGACCGCCGCCCTATAACTGGAATATTGCTGAGTGCGGCGTTTAATAAAAAACGAACCAACACACACATAATCAATCTCTTTCTGAAGGATGTGCTCCTCCATCGATGAAAGAAGTCATCACTACTCCTCTCATTAAGAAGAGTCAGCTTGACCCAGAAGTCCTCAAAAACCACAGAACAGAATCATGTCTCTCCTTCACATCAAGCTTGCTTAATGTGTTGTGGCATCGAGGATGAACTGGAAGCAAACATGCTGTATGAGGCTATGCAATCCGCGCACAGGGAAGGCCACAGATGTGAGAAGCATTAGTTCGTGTCCAAAATGACCTTCTCATAATCATCTGTCTGGAGCTGGCTGAGAAAGTCCCTCCTGAATATCATCATTGACGACTGTGTCACTAAGAAAGCATAGAAACCTCGCAATTTTGGTGCTACATTTGATTCTTCTCTCAGCCTGGAAACGCAGGTAAAAATCATGTGTCAACGGGTATATTATCACATCAGGAATCTAGGTCTAATAAGGAAGCACAGAGACGGACCAGCAGCAGCAACTCTCATTCAGGCACATGCTATCTCTCGTCTGGATTACTATAACGCTATGCTTTATGGCCACCCAGAACATCTCACCAACAAACCACTGCGAGTACAGAACCCATCAGCACGAGTAGTTATTCGCCAACGAAAGTTTGAACACATGACACCATAATAATAAACGACTTACACTGGTTGCCGATCCACCAGCGTATTGCGCTCAAACCACCCGTGCTTGTGTTCAAGGATATTCACGGCCTGGCATCTTTTACCTCTCAGACCTCATACAGAAATACCAGCCCCTTCTTTCACTGAGAACAAATATGTTTATCTTGATGCCTTCCAGGACCAAGATATCTGGTGACAGGACCTTGCCAACAGCAGGCCCATATCTGTGGAATAATCTACCTTTGCACATTCGTTCAAGACCCGTGAAGATCCGGGGTAGAATAGGTCTTCAACAACCCATGCTTGCCGTAAAAGGCGATATGCGTGTCTTAAAGGCGACTAATGGGATCGGGTGGTAAGGCTCGCTGACTTGGTTGCTGTATGTCATCGTATCCCATTTGTATGGATCGATGCTCATGTTGTCAATCACTGGATTGTCGGGTCCAGACTCGAATATTTCCACACCAACGTCATATAACCGGAATATTGCTGAGTGTGGCGTTAAACAACAAAGAAAGAAAGAAAGAAAGAAAGAAACAAAACATTCGATCAATTCAGGAACTTGCAACCTTAAAGAATCCACTGAAAAAATCTTTTTGACCTGGACTATAAAGTGTAGATACTTGATCGATTTTTCTGTCATAACTTTATTCAGACTCAAAGCAATTTACTAGGTATTAGCGCTGTACAATATTGTAGATAATATAGATAATATACTGAACAACAAAAGTTCCTGTGACAAGATTTAATGCAAAGTTAAGTTTTTTACCAAATCTGAAACCAAGTCGGTTTGCAACAGATAAAAGACTCCTGTAAGTGTTCAAATGGTTTAATTTGCCATACTGACTTCAGAAAATGCGTGATTTCATAAAAATACATGAACATGCCAAAATGTCAATTTACAAATCAAAAGCGTGTGTGTCAACCTCTAGTTGCGATGCAAGCAACACATCTTCGTCTCATAGCATGGACCAGGCATCGCACAAAGTCCTGTGGGATATCTGTCCATATCTGCTGGAGCATGTTTCGAGGTTCCTGGAGTGTCTGTGGAACACGTGGTTGACGTCGAAGGCGCCGATCCATCTCATCACACATGTGCTCGATTGGTGAGAGATCAGGGGAGCGGGCCGGCCAAGGGATGACATTCACGTTGTTTTGTTGAAGAGAATCCTGAACAAGTTGAGCAATATGAGGCCGGGCGTTGTCATGTTGAAAGGTAATGCCTGGGCCATGACGACGCAAAAACGGTAGAATAACAGGGCCGATGATCTCGTCTGGTAGCGCTGTCCATTGAGATTTCCCTCTACCACTATCAAGCGGGTCCTCTGTCTTGCTGTTATCCCACCACATACCATAACGCAGCCGCCCCCGAACCGATCTTCTTCCATGACACAATGATTGACGTAACGTTCACCTCGACGTCGGTACACTCGAATCCGTCCATCGCTGTGGCTGAGGTGAAAACGAGACTCGTCAGTGAACAGAACTTGTCCCCACTGCATGGCAGTAGACGTGCTTGACGGTGGTTTCCTGTCAAAATGGGACTTGTGGCGGGTCTTCTGGCGACAATCCCTGCACATCTGAGGCGACGACGTTTGTGAAAATATTCGTCGAAGGCCAGGGATGCTTCTTGCAGTCACTGTTGTTGGCTGGAATCGATTTCGTAGGTGTATTGTACGAATCCAGCTGTCTTGTCGATTATTGGTTACGCGTGGCCTGCCACTCCGAGGATGGTCTCTGACTGCATTCGTCTGTTGCCAACGTTGCCATAAACACCAAATTGTGTTTCTGTGGACGTTAAATTGTCTTGCAACATCACGTTGACTCGATCCTGCTTCAAGCATACCAATGGCTCGCAGACGCTCATTTTGGGACAGGCGTGGCATTTCGTAATGTTGAATAATTGCGTAATTTGTTGTTTTTCTGAGTGGTTGTTGTCAGCACGATGCTAAACAATGCATATGGAATCCCGTTAACACACATGTTTTTATACCCATACTTGGGTAGTGAAATGCATGGGGCTTGCATAAAAGTCAACTTTTGCATGGAATGCATGTTTTTCTGTAGCAGCTGCGTTTTTGTGACTTTATTCAATACATGTACTACAATATTGAAAACCAAACTTTACTTGTTTGAAAAATACACTAAAATATTGGTGTCACAGGAACTTTAATTTGTTGTTGAGTATTGTTACCACGTAAATGAAATAATTTACAATTTGTGCAACCTAAATGTTTTGGGGACCAATTTGTACCGCATTTGCCGGAGGTAACAACCTAAGTGAAACATAGTTCTTCTCTGTACCACTTGAACTTACAGTGGTGATAGTGATCCTATATAGGTCAATGTACTCCCACCTCGAAAAAGGCATAAAGACAATTAGTGTTAACGGTTTAGTAAACTGAGAATTATAGTCAGTTTCTAACACTGACGATTGTAAATTTAGACATAGATTTAAGTAGATGTTTCTAAAACTACAACTGAAATTACGTAAATGATCACCAAACATTAAGACATAAATATATGAAAATGATATTTTTTTACAGTAATCATTTAGATTTGTAAATGTCATATTTATTTACAACGATTGTTCAACTATGTGAAGACAACTGAGTTTGAAGCCTAAACAGTTATATTAAGATCTACATCTCTCCAGTGTATTTATACCAGTATATTCAGCTCTACATGTCATCAGTCTAATTATACAAGTAACTTCAGCACTACATCTCTTCAGTATAAACATATAAGCATATTTAAGCTCTACATGCTCGAGTCCAATCATACACGTATTTTGAGCTCTACATGTCTTCAGTGTAACTTTAGAAGTAGATTAAGCTCTACATTTCTTCAGTGCAATCATACACGTATATTGAGCTCTACATGTCTTCAGTGTAACTCTACAAGTAGATTAAGCTCTACATTTCTTCAGTGCAATCATACAAGTATATTGAGCTCTACATATTGTCATTGTAATCAAAAAAGTGTATCAAGTTTCACATCTCTTCACTCTTGTCCCATTATTTACAGTCATAATATTGGAATATTGCCGAGCGTGGCATTAAACAACACACACACGTATACAGAATTCCAATGTGTGTGTATTGTATTATGTCAAATGCGCATGGATCAATCTATTTTTCCTCCGTCTTTATACTATTTACTTTAGAACAGGCTATATCTTCATCCCACACGAAGTAGTATGGCCAGTAGGTGTTGAAGCTCTGAGTTGTCCCTGTGATCTGTGCTGATGCAGTGACCGGAACATGTTGATGGACGCACAAGTAGACTGACAAGGAATATAATTTATCCACTAATCGTGGCAGCGACATTCATAAGTCGGTCCGTGGATCAGAAATGGCGGCGTTTCAACTTATGTTTTTAAGGCGGATACAAATTTTGATCTGTTTCACTTTCGGACTTGGTGTTGGCTTTCTTGTCACAAGCATCAGTCGGGGAGCGCCACTCGGGTTTAATTCAGATCAGTGGAGCCTGAGACAAGGACAAATTTTCAGCAGATGGCGAGCCATGCATGGACATCCTGGTGGAAGGGAAGATCTGCATGAACAGTTTGAAACACATCTGGCTCGACATCAAGTTGGAGAAGTCAAGTTTGAAGACGGGCACCTGCATCACGGTGAGTGATGACGGACGGATTCGTGAGTGTTGGTCAACTGCCCTGGGTCATGTACCTACTGTGTTTTCAGACATGTAATTGCAGTCATTTTATTGGAATTCCCGACAGTGGCTGCAAGTTGAAATGAGGTTGTATGTGGCGTTTACGATCACGCAATTATATAGCGACATGCATGCACGTGTGTTTGTATGCTGGTGTGCTGGTGTGTGTGTGTGTGTGTGTGTGTGTGTGTGTGTGTGTGTGTGTGTGTGTGTGTGTGTGTGTCCTTGTACCAGTACGGACAAATATCGGTTTTCTAGGTCTAGCCCACTGCAATACAGTTTAATGCCTAACTCAGACAAATTACACTAACTCCGAGCCGATCAGTCCATGATTAAGGGCGCCAGGCAGGGTAACAACAATTACCATCTTTAAACGTCTATGGTAAAACGCGGCCAGGGGATCGAACCACCCACCTTCTGCTCTCAAGACAGTCGCTCTGTCAGCGTTGTGTGTCCACATAAGCCTCGACGCTTTTCCAGCTAAAGCTTCCTTGTGGTCTAAAAGACCTCATACATCCGATACTAACAGGACAAGTGATTGACTTGGCTATTTGTTGGGTTGGGTTTGAGCAGTCGCCAAGCCATATCGCAGCAATGGGCTTCATGGGTGGCTTGGAAAATGATATTATATATCTTTTTTCACTATATTCTCTCAGATGATGACGCACTCGCCAAGTCCCTGTTTGAGAAGGAGCGCGTGTTGTGCTGGATAATGACCTCACCACAGAACCTTGAGACGAAGGCACGTGTCGTACGTGATACGTGGGCTAAGCGTTGCAACAAGGTTATTTTCATCAGCTCTACAACAGATCCCAAGTTTCCAACAGTTGGTTTGAATGTCTCTGAAGGTCGAGAACATTTGACAGCCAAAACCATGCAAGCCTTTCGGATGATATACGAGAAACATATAAACGATGCTGATTGGTTCATGAAGGCTGACGATGATACCTATGTTATCTTAGAGAACCTCCGGTACTTCTTAACGTCACAGAAGAAGACGGAACCTGTATATTTTGGCCACCATTTTAAGACAATCGTTAAACAAGGGTACTACAGCGGCGGAGGGGGGTATGTGCTGAGTAGGGAGGCGTTGAAAAGATATGGGGAGAAAGGTCATGACCCCAGGATATGTCGACAAGATGGCGGCGCGGAGGACGCAGAGTTCGGCAAATGTATGGAGAGTCTGGGGGTGAGGACAGTCAACTCTACAGACGCCCTGGGGAGGAGCAGGTTCCACTGTTTTGACCCCGAGACACACCTGTTTGGTGGCTACCCGGAGTGGTATTACAAATACGATGCTAACGGTGCCCAGAAGGTAAGCACATATTTATCGTTATCAAACATTTAGAATATATGAAGCCCTGGCTGTTGTTGTCCAACAGTTCTATTTTCTTCAAATAATGAAGTTATGAATTTGAACATTACATAGGGACTGGTTATTTATGAAGAGGGAGGTTATTTCACTATTGTAATTTGATCTAGAAAATGTTCTTACTATATTTGTCGTTCAGTATGTGTAGGTTCGTGCCCTCAAGGGTAATATGGACTTTCAACGCCGAAGGCGTTTCGCGAGCTGGGGACGTTACGAAGATAACTAAGTACTGAATTGAAACTCTGAAATTATCAATGGTCAATGATACCTTTATTACCATGTATGTTACAGTCGTCAATGTGTAAAATGTGATTCAATTCGGCAATTAACAAGATGTAGTAATATTTACAAATTGACTGCAACATTCTGACACATTGAGTAAAAATTAAAGACATGTTATAACAGCCAGTACAGGGGAGGTGGGGTTTAGTCATACCATCACAGACAGCCAGTACAGGGGAGGTGGGGTTTGGTCATACCATCACAGACAGCCAGTACAGGGGAGGTGGGGTTTGGTCATACCATCACAGACAGCCAGTACAGGGGAGGTGGGGTTTGGTCATACCATCACAGACAGCCAGTACAGGGGAGGTGGGGTTTGGTCATACCATCACAGACAGCCAGTACAGGGGAGGTGGGGTTTGGTCATACCATCACAGACAGCCAGTACAGGGGAGGTGGGGTTTGGTCATACCATCACAGACAGCCAGTACAGGGGAGGTGGGGTTTGGTCATACCATCACAGACAGCCAGTACAGGGGAGGTGGGGTTTGGTCATACCATCACAGACAGCCAGTACAGGGGAGGTGGGGTTTGGTCATACCATCACAGACAGCCAGTACAGGGGAGGTGGGGTTTGGTCATACCATCACAGACAGCCAGTACAGGGGAGGTGGGGTTTGGTCATACCATCACAGACAGCCAGTACAGGGGAGGTGGGGTTTTGTCATACCATCACAGACAGCCAGTACAGGGGAGGTGGGGTTTTGTCATACCATCACAGACAGCCAGTACGGGGGAGGTGGGGTTTTGTCATACCATCACAGACAGCCAGTACAGGGGAGGTGGGGTTTTGTCATACCATCACAGACAGCCAGTACAGGGGAGGTGGGGTTTGGTCATACCATCACAGACAGTCAGTACAGGGGAGGTGGGGTTTTGTCATACCATCACAGACAGTCAGTACAGGGGAGGTGGGGTTTGGTCATACCATCACAGACAGTCAGTACAAGGGAGGTGGGGTTTGGTCATACCATCACAGACAGTCAGTACAGGGGAGGTGGGGTTTGGTCATACCATCACAGACAGTCAGTACAGGGGAGGTGGGGTTTTGTCATACCATCACAGACAGTCAGTACAGGGGAGGTGGGGTTTTGTCATACCATCACAGACAGTCAGTACAAGGGAGGTGTTTTTTTTCATACGATCACAGACAGCCAGTACAAGGGAGGTGGGGTTTTGTCATACAATCACAGACAGCCAGTACAGGGTGGTGGGGTTTTGTCATACCATCACAGACAGCCAGTACAGGGGAGGTGGGGTTTGGTCATACCATCACAGACAGTCAGTACAAGGGAGGTGTTTTTTTTCATACGATCACAGACAGCCAGTACAAGGGAGGTGGGGTTTTGTCATACAATCACAGACAGCCAGTACAGGGTGGTGGGGTTTTGTCATACCATCACAGACAGCCAGTACAAGGGAGGTGGGGTTTTGTCATACCATCACAGACAGCCAGTACAAGGGAGGTGGGGTTTTGTCATACCATCACAGACAGCCAGTACAGGGGAGGTGGGGTTTTGTCATACCATCACAGACAGTCAGTACAAGGGAGGTGTTTTTTTTCATACGATCACAGACAGCCAGTACAAGGGAGGTGGGGTTTTGTCATACAATCACAGACAGCCAGTACAGGGTGGTGGGGTTTTGTCATACCATCACAGACAGCCAGTACAAGGGAGGTGGGGTTTTGTCATACCATCACAGACAGCCAGTACAAGGGAGGTGGGGTTTTGTCATACCATCACAGACAGTCAGTACAGGGGAGGTGGGGTTTTGTCATACCATCACAGACAGCCAGTACAGGGGAGGTGGGGTTTTGTCATACCATCACAGACAGTCAGTACAGGGGAGGTGGGGTTTTGTCATACCATCACAGACAGCCAGTATAGGGGAGGTGGGGTTGTGTCATACCATCACAGACAGCCAGTACAAGGGAGGTGGGTTTTTGTCATACCATCCCAGACAGTCATGTTACCGAGACATCTTGCCGAGATATGTAACCGAGATATGTTACTGGGACATGTTACCGAGATATGTTACCGAGACTTCTACTGAGATATGTTACTGTGACATGTTACTGAGATTTGTTACCGAGATATGTTACCGAGATATGTTACTGTGACATGTTACCGAGACATGTTACCGAGACATGTTACCGAAACATGTTCCTGAGATATGTTACTGTGACATGTTACCGAGATATGTTACAGTGACATGTTACTGTGACATGTTACCGAGACATGTTACCGAGATATGTTACCGAGACATGTTACCGAGATATGTTACTTTGACATGTTACCGAAACATGTTCCTGAGATATGTTACTGTGACATGTAACCGAGATATGTTACTGTGACATGTTACCGAGACATGTTACCGAGACATGTTACCGAAATATGTTACTGTGACATGTTACCGAAACATGTTCCTGAGATATGTTACCGAGATATGTTACTGTGACATGTTACCGAAACATGTTCCTGAGATATGTTACTGTGACATGTTATCGAGATATGTTACTGTGACATGTTACCGAGATATGTTACTGTGACATGTTACCGAGACATGTTACCGAGATATGTTACTGTGACATGTTACCGAAACATGTTCCTGAGATATGTTACTGTGACATGTAACCGAGATATGTTACTTTGACATGTTACCTAGATATCTTACTCTCACATGTTACCGAGACATGTTACCGAGATATGTTACCGAGGTATGTTACCGGGACCTATTATGATAAATGTGATACTTCTAGAAATGGTGTACTGATGTTTCAAGACGAGCTCCTGGATATTTTAAATCAGATCGATGACGTTTCATGTATTTTGGGGGGAGATTTTAACTCCAGAACAGGAACAGAACCCGACTTTGTGGAAGACGACATTTTGGATTATCTTGAAGGGCGTGATAACTCGTCTTGGGATTTCTTGATAGACCATTTTGATTTGCAGAGAAACTCTGCTGACACTATTTTGAATAAGTTTGGTAAATGTTTGTTGAACCTATGCTCTGTCTTAAATATTCAAATTATGAATGGTCGTTGTGGCAGTGACGCTGGTATTGGGGATTATACATTCATCAGTAGTACAGGGGCAAGCGTAAATGACTATATGATCTCCACCGTACATATGTTTGAACTCTGTAAAACATTCGACATAGACACACGGTACGAGTCGCAACATTTTCCATTAACAATGGCTTTACGTACGTGTACGCTTCACTCAGTCATCGAGGGTCATAATGATATTAATTATGCAAGTACATTTAGATTAACGTGGATAATTGATAAAGAAGAAATATTTCTTTGTAACTTAGCTTCGGACAAGTTTGTATCACTGGTTGAAAAAGCAGTAGATACCGTATACACAAATATTGATGAAAGTATCGAGTTTATTAGAGAAGCACTCTCCTATGCTGGGAACGAAATGAAGAAAGCGGTTCACGTGGACAAGAAAACACAAAAATGGTTTGATTGGGAATGTCAGTTACTAAAAAAAGAGAGATGTACATGCCTCAACAAATTCAGAAGAGATAAAGATTTACAGTCATTAAGGGAATATACAAAAATAAGAAATCTTTACAAAACCACGTGCAGGGAAAAGAAGGTTATATTTCTTGAAAAGAAAAAACAATATTTGGAAGATAACATTAAGTCGTCGAAAGAATTTTGGACAACCCTCCACAAGCTAAATCCACATTATGAGTTTAAAAAGAATATTGAAATTGATAAATGGTATGATTATTTCAAAAATATGTTTAGTGGTAATGGTGTTGGGGATGAAACCTACTTTGAATTATCAGATCAGGAAACATGTGACAATGACATAACTGCTACAATTCTTGACTCGCCAATCACAAGAGAGGAAATTCAAAAAGCTATCTACGATTTGAAAAACAGCAAGAGTTCCGGGATAGATGGTTTAATTCCAGAATTTTTTAAACATTCTGTTAATATTCTACTTCCATACCTTGAATTACTGTTTAATATGATTTTAGAAACGTCTTATTTCCCAAAAGAGTGGACTATCGGTGTGATTGTTCCACTACATAAATCAGGATCACATACCAAAAATTATCGAGGAATTACCCTTCTGAGTGTTTTTAGCAAAATATTTATTTCTATTATTAATAAAAGGCTCACTTTTTGGTCAGATTCATTAGATAAAATTTCGGAAGAACAAGCAGGTTTAAGACAAGGGTATTCAACCACGGATAATATTTTCGTACTTAATGCGATTATTCACAAATACATGCAGAGAAAAGGTGGAAAATTTTATGCAATTTTTGTTGATTTCAAAAAAGCGTTTGATTCTGTAAACAGAAATATAATGTGGTCATTGTTTCTTTCAAATTGGGTGAGTAATAAAATGGGTAAACTATTATGCAATATTTATCAAAATGTAAAGTCATGTGTTAAAAATCGGGGAATATACTCTGATGTCTTCACATGTAACATTGGTGTACGCCAAGGCTGTATTCTTAGCCCCTTCCTGTTCTGTTTTTTCATCAATGAACTGGCTGCACAAATTAAGGAAAATAGTACGGATGGTATACAGCTGCATCCAGATATTGTTTAGATAATTCTTTTGCTTTTTGCTGATGATATAGTCCTGTTCTCTAGTACGATAAAAGGTTTACAGAATTTGATAGATCAACTGGAGCTGTACTGTTCTAATTGTAAACTCCAAGTGAACACTGAGAAAACGAAAGTGTTAGTTTTCAAAAAGGGAAATAAACTATCAAGTAGGGAAAAATGGTTCTTCAACTCACAACCGTTAAAAATTGTCACTTCTTATAAATATCTGGGGGTAACCTTCACAGGCGGATTATCGTGGAATATCCACACCAGTAATGAAGCAATGCAGGCAAAAAAGATACTAATGGGAATCTTACATAGTTTAAAAACCTTCACTGATCTTTCATATCAAACCTTTTTTAAAATATTTGATACAAAAATTACTCCAATTCTTTTATATGGAGCAGAGGTCTGGGGGCATAACGAATACAGAACTATTGAACTGGTCCATCTATATGCTTGTAAACGATTCTTTGGCGTAAAAAACTCTACATCGAGTGTTATGGTATATGGTGATTGTGCACGTGTACTACTTTACATATTTCAACATATTAGAATTCTCAAGTATTGGTTCAAGATTCTTAAAATGCCTATTGATAGATTACCTAGAAAATGTTACAACATGATGTTATTGTATGAAAAACATGGAATCCGCAATTGGGTATATGATGTAAAGTCGTTATTAAATGATTTCGGCTATGGGTATGTTTGGCATAATCAATGTGTACTAAACAATCCAGATTCATTTTTAGTATCTTTACGCCAAAGACTTAAGGATATATACTTACAAAAATGGGCATCGCAAGTTTTAAGTTCAGAAAAATGCAATTATTACAAGCTTCTCATGACAACAATTTCCCCAGAATACTATTTGTTTGACATTAACTTTAAAAGGTTTAGAATAAGTTTAGCACAATTTAGATGCAGCTCTCATAGACTTAGGATCGAAGTAACGAATCTGTAACCACTCCCGAAAACAGAATTGTACTACGGGCCTGAGGCCTTTCAGTATGGAATAAAACTTATCTTATCCTATCCTATCCTACCGAGACATGTTACCGAGACATGATACCGAGATATATTACCGAGATATGTTACCGAGACATGTTACCGAGATATGTTACCGAGACATGTTACCGAGATATGTTACTGTGACATGTTACCGAGATATGTTACCGAGACATGTTACCGAGATATGTTACTGTGACATGTTACCGAAACATGTTCCTGAGATATGTTACTGTGACATGTAACCGAGATATGTTACTGAGATATGTTACCGTGATATGTTGCCGAGACATGTAACCGAGATATGTTGCCGAGACATGTTACCGAGACATGTTACCGAGATATGTTACTGTGACATGTTACCGAGACATGTTACCGAGATATGTTACTGTGACATGTTACCGAAACATGTTCCTGAGATATGTTACTGTGACATGTAACCGAAACATGTTCCTGAGATATGTTACTGTGACATGTAACCGAGATATGTTACTGAGATATGTTACCGAGACATGTTACCGAGATATGTTACCGAGATATGTTACATCTGGCGCAATCCATACCTCGCCAAGACCATACATGAAAGGCAGATATGAGTCGCCCAATTTGGGTATGTTCTATTGTAGGTTTGTTTGAGCATATCATAGCATTGAAATGGGTACTTGTCATGTGGCACTGAAATCAGGCGCAGCATATATATCGTTGGTAACTGAAAACTAGTATTTAGTCCACATTTACCGTACTTTCGGTGGACAACTTCGACATTTCCTCTGTGTGTAAACCCCCATATCTCACTTCCATTAGTCAAAATCGGCAAATATTTCGAAAGCATTTCTGGCAGCTACATTGTGTTTACGTATTGAGGGTTTTATCGGAATGAAAGCTTTGCTGCCCTGTGATGAAAGAGTAATACATGCCTTTGTCCAAACCATTTTGGTGTCATCATTAATCCGAAATATTGATATGCGTGAACAACTTTAATTTCCTTCCGTTCCATGATCAGTTATCATATTTTGATAAATATAGCCCCATACCTGAATACGATCTTCTGTGTTATATCAGTGATTTCCACTTCCAACTTTATGCAGTATGGGTGCAAACAGTCTAATCTTCTCTGCATAAAGTTTCTAAAAAAGGAATGATTATAATTTCAGGGCACAGAGAGCATCTCCGACTACGCCATATCCTTCCACTACGTGCCCCCACATAAGATGCACGCTCTGGAGTTTTACATCTATCACTTACGACCGTATGGCATTGTGTCCGGAACCCAGGAGCTCAACAGACAAACGGATGTGAAACCCGGAACTCAGGGGGTCAACAGACATGCGTAGTGGCACCCGGAACTCAGGAGGTCAACAGACATGCGTAGTGGCACCCTGAACTCAGGAACTCAACGGACAAGCGGATGTGAAAACCGGAACTCAGGAGGTCAACAGACATGCGTAGTGGCACCCGGAACTCAGGAGGTCAACAGACATGCCTAGTGGCACCCGGAAGTCAGGACGTCAACAGACATACGTAATGACATCAAGACCTGACACATTACAACACGGCTGCAGTGGTGAACCTTATTTTGCAGTACAGCGTGTAAACCTATTTGCTGTTGGACAGAATTTCTGCACTTGTACACGGCAGCCGTAATTCAAAATTGACATATCGTTTTCGGTTTCAACTGAATCAGTAAATGCGCTATCGAATCTTTGAATTTTCTGGCCCATTGATGGCGTGATGTTCGGGTTTGTTTACAGGCCGCCGTCGCATGGCAGGAGTATTGTGCGGCGCCAGGCAACAAACATGTAAATGGCTGTGCGAGTTGTGTGAGTGACGGGTTCTGCCTGTAGGGCGGGGCATGTTACCGTTTTCGCGGACACCTGGTGTCATCACTCATTTTCAGTGATCCATTCATACAATTTCAACCGCCTTTTACTCTTAATGGAATCGTGTTATTCTCTGGGGGTGACGATCTATGTGAAACGTTGCCGTGTGCCTTCTGCTTGTAGCCTGGTGATAGTCACTGTTTATATGTGCTTACCTGGTTTGGCCTTTACTGCGGTATTATTCCTGATTCTTATGAGCAGGGGTTATGTGAGTGTTAATCTGGATATGAGGTTGGTGATGGAATTGTTTGATTCCATGTCAAATAGTTTTAGCTGATCAAATATGAATGCTGAATGTAATATTTTACGTCACTTCAGTAACTCTGTCAATTTTAGCACGAATATAGACCTTGAATTGTTGAATAGCTGCAACCTGGCAAGGAACGAAACCAACGGTATGTACAGGTAAAGCGAAATATGAATATTACAAACAAGAAATTCTTGAGGAGAGTATTATCACTTCTAGACAGTTCTCGCCTGCTGTAAAAAGTCCCAGCTCAAATAAACAGCCCCAGAACACGCTGATATTCGAAGATTGGTGAATATATTTCCAAGAAGTATTTTCTAATTCTAATAATTGAAACGAAGATGATTAGTGTTTAATTTCGAATTAAATGATAATTAATTTCCCGAGGTGACAACAGACATTCTCGATTCCACAATTACCATGACAAAATTATTTGACAGGATTAATCACTTAAATAACAATATCATGACATCAGCTTCGGATAAAGCGTATTTCGGAAGTTTTCAAAATTTCATCACACATATTGGTTCCTTATCTTGAACCGATTTTAAATATCATTCTTACTTTCCTGAGAATTGAGTACTGTGACTGATACAAATAACTATAGAGGAATTGTGCTTCTAAGTGTATTCAGTAACATATTATCATTAATACACGTTTGGTCTTTTGGGCAGACACTAAACTCAACGAGGCACATCCTGGATTTGGACAGGGATATAGCACAACTGATACAGTTTTTTTTTTTGTATTTCACAGTCAAGTATACAGTATACAGGGACCAAGCTTTTACTTCGACACAAACGTAAGTTCGACACATTAAAGTTTGACACAACGGTGTTTGACAACAAAGGGTCGCAAACTATATGCTCTAGCTGTAGATAGACTTGTGTCCTCAGTATAAGGAAACAAAGATTGATTGGTTGGCTGGTTGACAAGTACATGTATGTATATTTACAACATGAGTGTAATTAAAAAAACTGACATCACGATTTTTTCGATATGTGTCACCATACAGGAGTATATAATACAGGAGCAAAGCCGGGTAAAAAGAGCTTTGTTTGACACTTTCTACATCAAAGGTCTGACTATGCACTTGGTTCAGGAGTGAGTGAGTATAGTTTTACGCCGCTTTTAGCAATATTCCAGCAATATCACGGCGGGGGTACACCAGAAATGGGCTTCACACATTGTACCCATGTGGGGAATCGAACCCGGGCCTTCGGCGTGACGAGCGAACGCATTAACCACTAGGCTACCCAACCGCCCCTGGTTTAGAAGAGCCTACTGAACATTTCTAGGTACAACGTAATCCCAAACTATAGGGTAGGTCAAAAACTAGAGGCAGCCCACTGCCGGGTACATATTGTAAAAAATAAATTCAATTTATGAATATATTTGCATGGTAGGACAGAGGCAATATTTGACATAACTGTCACATGGGTCATTAACTTATGACACATGTCACAGAGTTACTTCAGTGACTAACAAAGATTAAAAATAATTTTAATTAAGTCACGTCAGTCATGGCAGCCATTTTTCAAAATGACTAACATTTGGCAAACATGCCATTCTAAAAATAGTATGGTACATGCCTATTTTAGGCAATGATTACTTTCATATGTTTCATTCACACATAAAACTGAACATATTTAGTGTATTAGTATCTTATGATAATTCGAAGTCATAGTCGAAGTGATGCCCGAATGGACGCAGCTCTAAACAATGAATTGCTTTTGATGATAGGCCCACCCGTGTCCCTGATGATGTGGGCTTGAATAGGCGATCGTATAACCTTGACAGTCGATCAAGGGAATAAGGAACAAAACAAATAACGATTCATGAGTCGTTGAGTATTCGTTTGTATTTGTTTGATTGTTACCTTGCAAGGACATGAAAAGTGTCAATATTTGCATGTCTAGCTGCAGGCGATATTTTCATTGCAGCAAAAAGTAGAATTTCGAAACTAACACTATTTGGGGAGGGTGTGTGTGTGTTCATATTTGTGTATTGGTGACACGTGTGATGTGTGTCGCGTCTGTTTCACAGTGAATGGCTATTTAAAGATGTGAAATATGAGCTGGGTTTGCGAAACGTATTCCTCATCGCGAGGCAACTAATTCAGTGTTTGAGCATTACCCTGTGCCAGGTAATCTTCTGGCTTCATTGCTCGTCAGGTGCCCAGCGGCCTTTAGTGATATTTATATACCAACTTCGTGAGAATATATTTCAATGTGTAAATAATATTTAGGGAGAATTAGAAAATTATAAACTGTGTGTAAGTACGTCAGTGCTAAAACTATTGATTCGGTATTGCAGATTTTATTGATATTAATAAAACAAGTTCATTTATGAATATATTTTCAATATGAGAATACGTATAATGAGAATCCCAGAATGATATACTGTGTGGACGCAGTTCAGCTTGTACTCTTCTAAAAACATCTCTGAAGACTCATAGCAGAGTTTGTCTTTCAAACTCACAGATAGTCACAGAGTGACGAAGCAGACGAGTTATCATATGAGACATTGGTTCGTGTTTCCCGAGCTCTGATCTTTCAGGCAAGGGAGGACAACACACACTGTCGGACAATGTCAGTGACAAAGCAGACGACAGCTCATATTGGAGAACCGTTTGTGTGTCCGGAGCTCCGATCTTCACAGCAAGCGATGTAACCTTTCACTAGCGGATTGAATTATACTAAACAACAAAAGGTCCTGTCACATTGAATAAGATTTAATGCAAAGTTATGTTTTTACCAAATCTGAAACAATTTCGGTTTGCAACGGATAAAAGAGTCCTGTAAGTGTTCAAATGGTTTAATTTGTCATACTGACTTCAGAAAATGCGTGATTGCATAACAAAATCATGAACATGCCAAAATGTCAATTTACAAATCAATAGCGAGTGTGCAGGCAACACATCTTCGTCTCATGGAATGAACCAGGCTTCGCACAAAGTCCTGTGGGATATCTGTCCATATCTGCTGGAGCATGTTTCGAAGTTCCTGGACTGTCTGTGGAAGACGTGGTTAACGTCGAAGGCGCCGATCCATCTCATCCCACATGTGCTCGATTGGTGAGAGATCAGGGGAGCGAGCCGGCCAGGGGATGACATTCACGTTGTTTTGTTGAAGAGAATCCTGAACAAGTTGAGCAATATGAGGCCGGACGTTGTCATGTTGAAAGGTAATGCCTGGGCCATGACGACGCAAAAACGGTAGAACAACAGGGCCGATGATCTCGTCGCGGTAGCGCTGTCCATTGAGATTTCCCTCTACCACTATCAAGTGGGTCCTCTGTCTTGCAGTTATCCCACCCCATACCATAACGCAGCCGCCCCCGAACCGATCTTCTTCCATGACACAATGATTGACGTAACGTTCACCTCGACGTCGGTACACTCAAATACGTCCATCGCTGTGGCTGAGGTGAAAACGAGACTCGTCAGTGAATAGAACTTGTCCCCACTGCATGGCCGTCGAGCGTAGACGCTGTCTGCACCAGTGTAGACGTGCTTGACGGTGGTTTCCTGTCAAAATGGGACGTCTTCTGGCGACAATCCCTGCACATCTGAGGCGACGACGTACAGTTTGTAAAGATATTCGTCGAAGGCCAGGGATGCTTCTTGCAGTCACTGTTGTTGGCTGGAATCGATTTCGTAGGTGTATTGTACGACTACAGTTGTCTTGTCGATTATTGGCTACGCATGGCCTGCCACTCCGAGGATGATCTCCGACTGCATTCGTCTGTTGCCAACGTTGCCATAAACACCAAATGGTGTTTCTGTGGACGTTAAATTGTCTTACAACATCACGTTGACTCGATCCTGCTCCAAGCATACCAATGGCTCGCAGACGCTCATTTGGGACAGGCGTGGCATTTCGTAATGTTGAATAATTTCGTAATTTTATTGTTTTTCTGAGTGGTTGTTGTCAGCACGATGCTAAACAATGCATATGGAATCCCGTTAACGCACATGTTTTTATACCCATTCTTGGGTAGCGAAATGCATGGGCTTGCATAAAAGTCAACTTTTGCATGGAATGCATGTTTTTCTGTAGCAGTTGCGTTTTTGTGACTTGATTCCATACATGTACTACAATATTGAAAACCAAACTTTACTTGTTTGAATAATACACTAAAATATTGGTGTCACAGGAACTTTTGTTGTTGAGTATACATAAGTCAGTGACAAAGCAGACGATAGTCTATAAAATGGGACTGTTTGCGTTTACACCAAGCAGATGACATTATGAATATGTCCTCACCGACAAAAGAAACGTGAATAACAATAATGTTGGCAATGAAGAATTACTCCTTTTCAAGAGATATTAGATTGGTTCGATGCAAAAACGAACATACCCGTATGTTGTGTGAACCTATGCTCATGAACTTATAACATGTGACGTCATAGATCTATGACTCGATATGCACCATTTGTCTCGTGCAGGATTAGCGTGTAAAATTTGGATCTGTCGTTCAGCATATCGTGATAATGAAAACAGTCTGTGGTAACACTTGACTGATTTTAGCTTTCTCATTAATTGATGCTTTGTGTTTCTTTTGACAGTGAGTATATGTTGCGTAGCAGACGACCTATGTCAGTCAGCAATGCAACAGCAGGCATGAATATATTACCCATCAATTAGATAAGGCTCAATTGTTTAATCTGCATTCAACAGTAATATCACTTTAATCGATTTGTGGTGGTTGACAATGAAATGAATACCACGCATCAGTGTTTATAGCGACATATTAGTACAGTCTATGTGACCATCACTCCTGGAGAAGGCCAATTATGTTGCGTGTCGCCGTTCTGGGAAAAAAACAATTCTGGCTTGGAATCTCGGTCGTGATGGTTGTCGCGTTTGTCTGGGTCAGTGTGAGGAATCTTCAACCAAATGTTGATAAGAATTACGGACGGCTAGACTACAGTATTGGTATTCTCAAATACGTCGGATATCTCCGAAGAGAGGAGACTGGGAGGAGGTGGATGGCTCGCCAGGCCACGAGGGTGCGGTTTGACGACAAGACCCATCACGGTTTGTGATTGTAGTATATATATGTGCTGGTCGACCAGGTTAATGCATGATAGGTACATGTTGATTCAAGATGGTGTAGCTCTACAACGATATGTGAATAGACACGTCATGAGATGTGAGTAGATACACGATAAGATATGAGTTGTTACACCATGAGATACATGTAGATACACCATGAGATATGAACAGCCACATCATGAGATGTGAATAGATACGCGATAAAATATTAGTAGATACATCATGCTATAAGAATCACTTGCAGATACACCATGATATATGAGTAGATACACTGTGAGATATGAGGAGATACAATATGTGAAATGAGCAGATACACTATTTGATATGAGGAGATACGCCATGAGATATGAGTAGATACACTATGAGATATGAGTAGTTACATCATGTGGTATGAGTTGATACACCATGAAATATGAATAGATACACTATGAGATATAAGTAGATACACCATGTAATATAAGTACATACACCATGATAAAAAGTAGATGCACCGTGAGATTTTAATAGGCGCACCGTGCGATAAGAGTAGATGCACCAGACGAAATAATAAGATACACCATGAGATATGAGTAGGCGCACCATGAGATGAGAGTTGATGCACCATGAGATGAGAGTTGATGCACCATGACATAAGAGTTGATGCACCATGAGATAAGAGTTGATGCACCATGACATAAGAGTTGATGCACCATGCTATAAGAATCACTAGAGATAAGAGTAGATGCACCAGACGAAATAATAAGGTACACCATGAGATATGAGTTTGCGCACCATGAGATGAGAGTTGATGCACCATGAAAGAAGAGTTGATGCACCATGAGATAAGAGTTGATGCACCATGAGATAAGAGTTGATGCACCATGAGATATGAATAGATGCACCATGAGATAAGAGTTGATGCACCATGAGATATGAATAGATGTACCATGAGATAAGAGTTGATGCACCATGAAATAAGAGTTGATGCACCATGAGATAAGAGTTGATGCACCATGACATAAGAGTTGATGCACCATGCTATAAGAATCACTAGAAGATGCACCATGAGCAATTGAAAAATTGTCGATCAACGTATCGGGCTAGAATCATCGAGAGGGTACGGAGGTCTGGCCGCCATTGCTGACCGCAATAGCGGATGAAATATCTTTTCCGGCCCTGTGTTCAATTCCAAGTAGACCCGTGAAGATCCGGGTTAGAATAGGCCTTCAGCAACCCATGCTTGCCGTAAAAGCAACTATGCTTGTCGTAAGAGGCGACTAACGGGGTCGGGTGGTCAGGCTCGCTGGCTTGGTTGATGCATGTTATCGTATCTCAATTGCGTGGATCGATGCTGATGATGTCAATCATTGGATTGTCTGGTCCAGACTCGATTATTTACAGATCGCCGTCATATAGGTGGAATATTGATGAGAGCGGTGTTGAACTAAAAACAAACACTTTAAGTAAATATATTGTGGCACGATATAACATATAAATACTCGTATTTGAAGGCAAGTGTAAATAAGATTGCATATGTCGTTAGATAACAAAGCATGCACTTTGCTGAAGCATATAAAGTTGTTAAGCAACAAACATTGTGAAACAAACAAAGATTTCCAAGCAAATATATTGTCGCACGATCGAACATATAAGTACTCGTATTTGAAGGCAAGTGTCTCAGGGTGTGAATAATATTGCACATGACGTTAGATCACGAAGCATGCACATTGCTGGGGCATATAAAGTGCCATGCAGCTTTGGAACGGGGATATAAGAAAAACGGAGAGAAAGGGTTACAGCGGCCAGTTGATATATAGTTTGTGCATTCTCTCTGTCCTGTGTATCATACAGAGTAAACTTCACATTATTGACTCTCTAATTACAAGACATCTTGTCAGAAGGATTAATTTTTAACTTTTCTAATATTTGGAAACCATTCTAAATCACCTAAGTTACGTGCAGTAAGTTTACCCGTGTGTTACACACATGCGCCAGTGGCTTTACCTTGAATTAAGAGATGACTACATTCCTACAGTTATTATTAACTGAATTGACGGACAAAGAACATGTCACTCGTTAATTGCCATGTCTTGCAAGGTGCCTTCGCTCAGCCAGATATTGAGGTCATGAGATGATTCAAAGCAAGTCATTAGCGAGGTGTTATATTCTCCTCATGCAGTTCATATATATTGGGAAGATACATTCAAAGACATAAATATATACCTCCAGACGGAGCTACGTGATATTTCCACAGATATGGCTGAGGTCACCGTCATAAATATGTGTGGAGGCACGACCACAAATTGTTGGACCCTGATATATTTAACTTGTCACTTCGTAAAGGTAACTAGGTCATTACGACGACAAATACGTTCATACCCTGTTGCTGTTTTTGGTGCATCACTGTTCGAGAAGATGTATGGAATACAGCAGCACACAGATGTCAGGAACCAGTCTGTGTGATAGGACGCTTGTCGTTAACTACCAGCCTGTAAGAAGTGTTTAGTAGAATGTCTCATGACCAACGAACATAACATAAACAAGGGTCATAGCAACTCTAATTTTATAATCCTTTCAGAGGTATCACATGGACAGTGGTCGGAGGGTTGATACTTATGGGACAACTCATGGAACAACTCATGTGTATTTCCATTTCTGATGGTCAAGTGCTCCCTACATCTGCCTCAAAGACAGAAACACACGCACGCACGCATGCTCGCACGAACGTACGCATACACACAATACTTTGAGGGCAACGATCTGAGGCCCCACAAACTACCTCAACACACCCTGAAGCTATCAATTCAAAATTTGACACACCCATCCCACCATCCAATCCCTTACAGGAAGATGGTTCTTGTTGTTGCCCTGCCTGGCATTAAGGCGATTACACAAGGTCGGGTCAGCTCGGAGTCAAAGTACTCTTTCTGAGTGTGGTATCGATCCATGTTAAGCTGCGGCTACGTATCTAAGTGGGCTATCAATATTAAACCAGCTTAAGTTCGGACATGTCGCAAAATAAGTGCAATAATCTTGAACACGATATAAACCCCCTTTTACCTCACCTCACCTCACCTCACCTCACCTCACCTCACCTCACCCAACCGGACCCTGGACAAACCTGGAACCGCCTCTGATGTAGGTGAATTGATGATAACATACCATCTGATTGACACATGTACGTCACTTCCAGGAAGCAGAGTCTCAGACCCAGCCTCAGAGAATACTGTTTGAGACAGAAACCTTTTCGGGCACTGCTTCAAGACATAGAGTTGTTTTCTCTGATGACGAATTCCTCACGACGCAGTTTTTTCAGAACATCAGGTAAAAAAGTTGTGTGTAAAACCTGGGTAAACAAATTGTGTTTTTCAAGTTTGTTTGGAACAATATGAGATGTTCGACCCGTACGTTGTGGTATATGTTTCAGGGAGCCGAGAGTATATCCGACTTCGCCATATCCTTCCACTACGTGGCCCCTCACCGCTTGTTGTTGCTAGAATACTACATCTACCATCTCCGACCGTACGGTAGTGGGATCGGCCTGAAGGACATGAACAGACACAGCTAGTGACACCCCCCCCCCCCCCCCCCCCCCCCCACCCCCCCCCGTGCACCTACTAGTACAGGCCACTGGTAACAATGACACTGAAATGATACAGCTGCTGTGCCTTTATATATAATTTCGAAGTATTTGCAGTATATATTAATGTAATTATATTATTATTTTATTGGTATAATTACCTTTCTGCCTTATGTTATTATACTACTCAAAAGAAGTTAAGGATCACCTGATTCTTTCATATTACTATAGTTAATCTCTCATGTCATGACAGATTTACTTTACCATTATGAAAGAATCGGGTGATCCTTAACTTCTTTTGAGTAGTATAGTTTATCAGTTTGTGGTAGACATATAGGAATCTGTAAAAGTTCTTACGTCAATACTGGTCTCTGAATTGCATCATCTATGTATGTGTGACGTCATATCAATATCAAGGGTGAGTTTATTGTTCATCAAAATACATGATGTATTGCTAAGAACACCTTCCTCTTGATTTCAAGACAACAGAAGTATGCAAACGAGAACTAATTATCCGTTATACTGAACAGAAAGTCGAACTAGAAACTTGAACAGCACTGTATAACACAGTGCATAAGCACAGTCAAAGAACATCCTTTACCACAGACTGTGAATTTCTGATGAGTGCTCCATAAACAAAGAAACTTGCCTGTTCAGTGACCATCAACATGATATTTTTAGAGAACCAGAATTAAAATTACCATTTAATTGGTTACAACAATTCATGTTTGGATTATCTTTGATGTCGCCAGCAAGCCAACTTGACGCTGAGACCATTGCAGCCATGCATGGTCATATCAGGATATTACTAATGTGTCAATCAATTCAGTCATGACTCAGAGGAACACCTCTGGAGCAGATATATCGTTGAGCAATAAGCACCATCGTCTTCCATGGCCCCACACGCACCGCGCAACACTATTATATACCGAGTGAAGAGATGAGTAACAAGCATTTTAACGAAAGGATGGAAAATGTAACTCAGAAGTCTTTACAGGTAAAGATTTCTTCAAAGTCATTTCTTTAAGCTAATATGTTCTCAGCCTCATGATGGAAGGGTCAGACCGCCTCCGTGGTCTAGTGGTAGAGCGTCCGCCCGGAGAGCGGAAGGTCCGGGGTTCGATCCCCGGCCGCGTCATGCCAAAAGACGTTAAAAGATGGTACTTGTTGTTACCCTGTGTGGCGCTCGACATTAAGGGGCTAAAACAAGGACTGGACGGCTCGGAGTCAGTATACATTGTCTGAGTGGGGCATTCATGTTACACTGCGGCATGGTATCTCAGTGTGCTAGCACTATAAATCGGCATCAGTCCGGACTAGTACAAGCAGCCACACACACACATACACGTGCATGCACGTCGCTATATAAGTGCAATAATCCCCATTTCACCTCATCTCACCTCACCTATTGAAGGGTCACCTAGGAATGTAGTGTGTCAAACGTGAACATATGCCAACAAGTTGGCATAGATCTGAGAATGTTGACAACGTGATTAACAGTAGAAGAACACGTTCTTTACGTCTATGTCACACTCATTGGATGTTTCAATAAAACAACGGAGAATGGACAACGACTGTTAAATTCAAAGAATATTGCAAGATTGAAGGTGGTGGAAAATTCTACTAAAACACACGCCTGAGCACAACTAGTGGTTAAGCCCTTGCACGTGCAATACATGACAAGTAACAGTTGATGTGGGTATAAATGGCTTATGCCAGTTGCAACTGGACTGCACTCTTGGGTTTTGAAAATTCGACGGTTTTTTTGAATACTTTGATCTCTTTTTGTCTGCATGACCCCCCAAAAATGACGTTGATTAGCCGGGCAAAAGAAAGTATACACTGACGTTTGATGTTGGCTATAAAAGAAACAAACAAGATATAGTGACATGATGGTGGTGTATTTGATACGGGTATCGTGGTTGTATTTTGGACCTTAAGTTATCAGTGTTTCGACAACTCTTTTCAGTCTAGTAACGTTTCGATAACGTTTGTGATGTTTTGGTCAAATCCAATTTCAAGTGTATACTTTGTTTCGCCTGGCAGTTTAGTTTAATGTTTAAGATTGTTTGTATACCTGACAAAATTGTCACATGTCCTTCTCTAAGCATTTGGACAAATGGGTGTGGTTGTCAGTCGTATTTAAGTTGGACAGATTTATGTTTGCATAAAATATTCGCCTATGTCCGTGAGTGTAAATTTCAATCGTCTTTGAAAGTGGCATTGTACATCCATTATGTTAAAAAGCACAATATTTTTAAGTATATGTCAAGCAATATACATGTATCTAATACATAAATGCATGTGAAGCATGGATTGGGCATGACTCAATACAAACACTTGATACACAAATGTCATCTCTTTGTTTTTCTAGTTGGAAAATTGTTCAGGAATTGAGTAAAGTCTATTTTTCTGATTTTAGGTTTCTTTTCTTTTTTTGGCTTTTCCTTTTTAACCTTTAAGTTTTCTGTGTTTCTTCACGACTTCCCCTCCTTCTCCCACTGCGGTTGTCTCCTCTCCCTGCTCCATTGATGCAACTGCAACATCGTCAGTAACCTCACAGTCCTCCTCCTCCTCTTCATCATTTTCTGTTTCTTCTTCACCTTCCTCCATTTTCTCTTCTTGCTTGTATCAAATTCCGAACATTCCTCCGTGTGAGTTCCAGCGTTGCTTTCTTCGATACCACACTTATATATGTTATCATCATTATCCAACGAAGGCTCGCCTCTTACCTGATCTACAGTTTCTCTAAGAGACGTGAGGCTGTCACCTTCTACCATTCTCTCCTCATCGTCTTCAGGAGATTCCACTTCAACTTTTTCTTCATCATCTACATCACCAGAAAGGCCAGACGGTTCATGTCTCATTCGGTCCGGGTCCATGCTGTGTCCGTCCTTCTTATCATCTCCTTCCTCAAGAGTGTCCTCTTTTACATCTTCCCAATCATGCCTCATTCGGTCCGGGTCCATGCTGTGTCCGTCCTTATTATCATCTCCCTCCTCAAGAGTGTCCTCTTTTACATCTCCCAAATCTGGCTCTCCTTCGATATCACTACCTGCAGTAGGTTGTGTTTCTGTGTCCTCTTCTTCACCAGCCGTGTTCACCTCTTCTGGCATTACTTGATTGTCATCATCTTTGTCATCATTTAACCCATCCTCGGTTTCATCTATCTCCTCCCCTCCCGTTTCAATCAGAGTTCCCCCTTCATCCCCACATATATTCGTGGTAACGTCACCAACCTGGTCATCATTTTCCTTATCCTCCAGATCTATAATCATATCTGTGGGATCTTCCTCAAATGGTGCAACATCTTTCAACTGTTTCGTGTGACTCCCCCTCCCCGATTTCTCCAGTAGTTGAAGAGTCTTTCTTGGTATTTCCTTTGTCACACACGCTGAAACAAAAAGCATATGGTATGACGGTGAACACAGAACCTTCTCAGGCATTCATTCTCCAATGAATAAATAGGATAAGCCACGCCTACCGACGCGGACTACTGTCATCACTACGCACGGAATGTCATAGAATTCCAATAATGATTACAGTCGAATGAATTCCCTTTCTACTCACCGGTATCACCTATATTATCAGGCCTTGTAACATTCCAGAGCTACTTTTCTGAATCAAACATACCAACAACAAAACAATAGTGTCGTCTTTCAACACTCACTGCATCAACACCGTCATCGCACAATCTCATGTCTTCGGGTTTCATTTCTAACTCGCAGTTTTCAACTGCATCTTCCAGTTCTCAGAAAACTAATGATTGAATCTGGTGGTAACTGACGATGTTATTTTGAACCGCCACCTTCTCCCTGACCTATTTGATCTGATTTGTAACAGTTGCAGTTTTTTCTCTCCTCTTGCCTTGATTGACAGGTCCTATGGACCTTGTTTAATGTTATTTTCCGTTGACCGACTACTTACGTTGAGAGCATGTCAAGTTATGTGCATAAATTAAACAACCACCAGATAGATGTCAAGCCACAGTATGTATCCCTACGCCTGGAATGTATATCAATCTCGTCATATTTGTCTGCTTCGATTTATATATTTGTTTCTGCTTAAACTATTGTTGATAACCCATGTTTTTGTCTTCGAATTTAATCATGAAGATTGTCTGTGTATTTATTTCTGTTCGTTGAGGTATGAATCGAAAAACATATGTAGCGGACTCATACTCTTTGCACATTGTCCCACGAACTCATATATACCTCGAGGAACCGGAGTAAATACTCAGTCAATCGTTAAGTGAAAAGGACATAGAATATATACTTTCATCACAGCCAATGGGATCCTTCCTAACCGACACCACGGTAGATTTCTTTTCTCTGCAACACAAAACATGTCAACATATGTCTATTTCCAATACAAATAATGAATCTAACGGGAATTGCTTAATCACCAGACCATCTACATACTGACCTCAACTAACACACAGTGTCATGCTTAGCATACGAGTTACCCGGGACACTTTATTCAGAAACATAATATCATCATCTTCACACATCTTTCATTTGGCAGTCATATTCCTAAAGACTTTCATTGTGATATAGTGACAGGAAAGTTACCCTCTGAGTTTACAGACATAGATCATGATAACTCCGCCAAGAATTGCCCCTTGCCGCCACATGCTGCCATAAGTAGTTTGGTAGTCATCGAGTAGGCTGGCATGCACACTGGAACAGATTTGGATAAATGTTAGACAATATATAAGATTGTCTATCTAATATGGATCTTCATGTGCAACCGTATAATATTGTCAGGTTTTACAATTATGAGTATATCATTCAAATAACGAAAAAAACATTGTATGCGATGTCCGCTTCTCCATCCGGGCTGTGATACCAAATCAGATATGATGTTCTCACATGTGACATTAAAAAAGGTGCGTGCGGTGCTAGAAATAAATTCAATTTTCGGATCGTAACATTTTGAAAGGCCCTTTTGGGTCTGGATTGGTATGGGCCTTCTGGCTTGTTTTCAAATGACCATACACATATCTTATCCCTCGAGGAATACACAGTCACGTTCAAGGTTTAACATCACGTTCAAGAGTATTCACTAACATACATGTAGGAGCGATGTGTGTGTGTGTGTCTGCTAGTCTGCTTATGCGGGTTAAGAATGTGTGTGTGTGTGTGTGTGTGTGTGTGTGTGTGTGTGTGTGTGTGTGTGTGTGTGTGTGTTAGAGCACTGAGATACATGAGTATCCCACTCAAATACTCAAGCCGACCAGTCGTTTTCACAGTCAACCATTTAAAATTCTGGACATCCTGGACGTTTTTTCTTGAAATATGTTTTACTAAAAATGTATTCGTATCCAATACAATAAAATATTTTTTTTCATTAGCCAATACACGACTCAGTCGAACGGACCAATCAGAATGCAGTTTACAAACCAGCTTCGGGTAATTTGAGATCACGAGAACCACGGGAATGGATCAAGGGGTTGGTGTAGTTTTGCTGTAATGCGATCTCTGGGTATATAGAGAATGTTTTTGTAGGGCTAAAAATGAAAACTTGTGGTGCATTTGATACAGGTATCATAGTTATTTTTCGGATGTAAAGTTTGCAGTGTTTCGGCGATTGTTTAAATTGGATAAAGTTTGGGTCTATCCAATGTTCAAGTGTTTACTTTCTTTTGCCCGGCGGTTTATAAGTTTTTACAAATAATTTTATTGTTCACAAACATATTCTACATATCACATTTTCTTTAGTCTGTCTGTCCACGGGCATCAAATATGAATCAAAAAGTCGAAATAGTTCTTAATGCTCAAAACTATGCAGTTACCTGGTTTAGAACGACCTAAAAATGGAATGTTTAATACTCACCCTTAAACAGGCTGTATGTGTAGCGGACACAAATTTGCCGAGTCCTGTGATGGGATTCGAACCACGGACCTTCTGAATTGAGGTCGGACGCCTTGTCCACATGACCCAAGAGAGTAACCCAGTCAGCAAGGTAAGGATGTCATCTGTGGGATGACTCCACGCCATGCTACATATATCATGTTGATATCTCATATAAGAAATAAATGACTCGTGGTCGTTGTTTATCGTACAATAAAACACTGCAGGGAGAATAAACCACTCGTAGCTGCGACACTCATGGTTTATTCTCTCTTCAGTGTTTTATTGTACGATATAAAACTACCGCGATTCGTTTATTTCTTAGATAAATACACTCTGCCAAGATTAAGATGCAAAGCCCCGGTGTTGTATGTATGTTATCGATATCAACAATACTGATCAGATTTAGTGCCAAATGACACGGATATGTTTTGGGAAAGAAAGTAGTTGCCTATAAATAAAAAGAAAGAAAAAAGAGTATATGTTTGTTCATGAAATATTCATCCGACTATCAAAGAGAGTTTTGTTGAGGATGCTTAGTAAAATATTGACGACGAATGTAAACTACCATCAACACAACGCATCGCCATGACCACCTGCTGGATCTTCAAACAAATATGATACCAGAAACAGTGTGCTTTCGCCATCGGACGGGAACGTGAAAGATGCGTACTTGTAATTCATCCTGAAGCAGTTTATCAGTAGCTAACCGTGAAGTTAATGCTACAGACCCGATACTTGTTGTGCTGATATACATATATACATTGGTGTTTGTGGCGTACATCTATAACAAACCCCGGCTATTTCACTCAAAGCCTCAGTCGGAGAAAATATAGGGTAAGTATTCGTGTTTTTGCTTTAAACATTCCATTTTTAGGTCGTTCTAAACCAGGTAACTGCATAGCATTGGTGACCGTATCCTCTCATCAGTTCCTCTTTTATGTCCATGCTTCTTTTGTCACCCAGGTGGACGAATCGTTGATAAGTGTGTCAATAGCGCCGTAGAATTTATGTCACACTTCTACTGCTCCTGTTGCTTAAAATAATACAATGTTATTAAACCATTTGCTTATTTATTTTTTACCTCCAAATACATAAACATTTTCCATCGAAAGGGAACTCAAGATCAGAAAAAAATAATACGGTGGGGTTTTCGTTGCGTCCGCAATGTTCCAAAACTCGAACCGTGTTTGTCTTTGCGGTCTGGAATTTCCATTCAAAGTATAAAATCTATTGATTTGTTTGTTGTTCAACATCGCGTTCTATTGTTTGTTGTTTAATGACGACGGTGTGTCAATAATCGAGCCAGGATCAGACAATCCAGTGGTTAATATTTTAAGCAAACATCTATACCGTCGGCGTACGATGGTACGCAATCCACCAAGCCACACACCACCCGATCCATTAAGCGTCTACTACCGGAACCAAATCTAACCCGGTATCTCAAAGGGGGCGCCGCAAGTCTATCATTAGGCAGCACCATGCATGCTCTCAAATATCATAGTAGCTTATGGATCTTATACACCACTGGAAATGTGTTTTGAGCATCGCTCAAACATTTAGGCGAATGTACCTAAACCAGAATGAAGCAATTTGGGCTTTGTCCATAAATGTGTTGATCACGTCTCTGGCAATGACGGTTACTTACGGACGGGAGGCACGGGTGGCCAAGTCGTCTAAGGCGCCTCAATTCGATGCGAGCAGTTGCGTCCCTTGGACACGCCAGAAACCTATGATTGTTGGTTCAAATCCCGGTTCGCCCTGATTATGTTTCTAGGTTTGCATCACCCTACCCGTGCTTGTGGTTTTGAACAAAGTGGTAAACGTCAAGCATCACTTCGGGCTTTCCTCCCACATGAAGCTGACACGCCGTGATATAACCTGAATAATGTTCACACCCCAACTCGTTCACTCACATATAGAAAAACACAACACAACAAGTTCCCTATAAGTGTATTCCCCGTGGATACTACGGTAAATATAAGCTTATATTTTGGTGAAGAGCTTAGGCGAAACAAAAGAATACATTATTAATGATATTTTACTCAAATGCAACTATCATGCTCTGCCTTAAGTGGGTAACTTAGCCAAGCAGAACCAGACACGACTGGTACAACAGACACAGATGTATTTACATGAAGATCATATATGTAAGTAGTCACAATAAATACAACAGTGGTGAGCACAGACACCGAGTTCCCAGGGGCCCAGGAAAAGAGATAACAAGCCTGCAGACACATCTTCTTCGCTTTAGCGTTTCTCCTGCCTCGGCAATTTTCGGCTGACCTCCTCCTCTTTGGGACTCTTGTGTGTGAGTAGGGGGGGGGGGGGGGGGGGTATTGGGATTTTAGTGTTGATAACATTTCTATGTTCGCAATGATAAACTGTTTTTGTTTTCCAGAACCTGATATCATTTCTTTGGCTGCTCTGTTTAGATACCTTCTTTCAATTGCCAGCCTCCAATTCAGTAGTGACTGACTGACTGACTGACTTACTGACAGTTTGGGGTTAATGGACATGGGTCCCATTACCAGCAGTGTTGTTGATAAGGGGGTCACCCTTTGTAGTGAGCCGCCTCCGTGGTCTTGTGGTAGAGCGTCCGCCCGGAGAGCGGAAGGTCCGGGTTTCGATCCCCGGCCGCGTCATACCAAAAGACGTTAAAAGATGGTACTTGTTGTTACCCTGTCTGGCGCTCGACAAGGGGCTAAAACAAGGACTGGTCGGCTCGGAGTCAGTATACTGTGTCTGAGTGGGGTATTCATGTTAAACTGCGGCATGGTATCTCAGTGAGCTAGCACTATAAATCGGCATCAGTCCGGACTAGTACAAGCAGCCACACACAAACACACATGTGCATGCATATAAGTGCAATAATCTTGGACGCGACGTTAAACCTAATTTCACCTCACCTCACCCTTTGTAGTGACTTTCTGGTGGCTGAATGTCGTCACAATTGTGAGGTCGGATGAGACCACGCACCAATGTGGCTTTAGTGAGATTTGTGTCCGAGCTAGGGCTTCATCTCGGGTGTTATTGTCTTGTCTTATCTTTTTCACCAAAGGGTGTGATGTTCGTCACCAGAACGATAATACTGCTTGCTCTCGTCTTAGTTTCACAGGAAGTTCTCCTGTTTCTTGTGGTTCTAGAGAAGTATTTGTTGCTGCACCTGTGGTTAGCATTCAGGCTTTGCATTGTTTTCTGTCGAGGCGGCTCAAGATACTGTTTCATGCTGAATGTCCTCACAACTATAGTCTACTTTTTATCTGATTAGCTGATTGTAGAGGTCAAACCGAATCTCCCTCGAGGTACGCTATATTCTACCATGAATTTGGAATTTACTCGATTCTGATTGGTCAATCAGAGGCTATTAAATCACAATAAACCCCCTCTGATTGAAACAGCTGGTTTGACGGCCGCATCACCGCGGATGCTAATATTCATAGAATAGTACTATTTTCAGTCATTGTCGGTAGGCATATTTAAATAATTATATCTACAACTACAGGTTACACAATGCACAGATGCCGTTACTACAATATTCAAAGGATGTGTGGCAATACATTTCATGTAGAAAACACGATAGAAATCTACAAAGGGAGTGTGTTTACGTTTTGGAGACCACAGAGAGCTTGGAATTTTGGCGCTTTTCTGTATACGGCTGTGACGTCATATCTTTTGCGTCACAATGAGCGATATGACGTCATAATAGTGACAAGCGATGTAGAGCGAAAGCCTTACAAAGCTTGCTTTGTTTTCTTTAGGGATACCCACCTCATGTTAGCTTTCCAAGTTGCCGTGCTTATGCTTTCAATGCCTGTCATATGTTCGAGTGAAGTATTACAGTGTAAACAAACTGCTTGAGTATATACAGCGCCATATTTTGTTCGGTGATTCCGTAATTCAGATCGACAACCCAGTCAAAACACTTGACTCAACCCATGCCGCTTCACTCAGTATATTTGCTAACACCAAAGAGTTAGCGTTTTATTTAGTCATGGTAGAATGGAGATAAACATACTGTGTTTTCAATGTAGAGCTAGGTTACTAGTAGATTTAACCGCGCTAAATTTAACATTTGAAACCTCACGCTGCGCGTTCGGTTCCAAATTCAATTTAGCGCGGTTAAATCTACAGGTAACCTAGCTCTACATTGAAAACACAGTATGTTTATCTCCTAAATAACGGTAACGCTGTTTTTCAGGGCATTTTATTACCTTTGTCGGGCAGTGAATAAAAGACATCGGGCTTCTGCAAATTGTAATCCCCTGAAAAAATAGCGTTACCCTTATAATATTGTTCTTTAAGTATCTTTAGTACAAGAGGTAATTAGAAGTAAATAAAACACGTTGAAAAGAGACTTTGGCATGTCATTTATTTTGTGAGGATACCTTGAATGCAGGTACTAAGTAGATTAGACAATGTTATTTTTGGCTTCTTGGCTTACTCGCATTACCGCTTGATTAAACATTGTGTCATTAGAGATAATTATCAAGATATTTCAAGTAACTTCTTTGAGAGGCATTTAGAAGTTGGAGAACTTCGTAAGGATACGATATATGGATGAACAACTTCTTTATTACAATTAGGAGAGCCATATAGCTGTAGGTTCTAACACCGTTATCAAGCAAGTGATATCACTAATTGTAACAAAGAAGTTGTTCATCCTTATATCTTATCTTTACTATGTTTCAAGTAACAAAATACTTATTGTTTAAGAGTTTGGTGATTACCATTAGTGAGTGAGTATGGTTTTACTCCGCTTTTAGCAATATCCCAGCCATTTCACGGCGGGGGACACCAGAAATCGGCTTCACACATTGTACCCATGTCGGGAATCGAACCCGGGTCTTCGGCGTGACGACCGAACGCTTTAACCACTAGGCTATCCGACCGCCCCTGATTACCATTAAAGGTTTTCTGGCGTTCATTATAGTTTTGAGCATTAAGAACTATTTCGACCTTTTGATTCATATTTAATGCCCGTGGTATCTCTGAAGAAAACTATGTTATGTAGAATATGTTGGTGAACAATAAATCTGTATAAGTACACTTCCAGGTAAGTAGTTATTCGCAACCCGGCCTTATAAACCGCCGGGCAAAAGAAAGTAAACACTTGAACATTGGATTAGACCCAAACTTTACAAACGTTATCCAAATTAAACAATCGCCGAAACACTGCAAACTTAACATCCGAAATATAGCTATGATACCTGTATCAAATGCACCACAAGTTTTCATTTTCAGCCCTACAAAAACATTCTCTATATCCCCAGAGATCGCATTACAGCAAAACTACACCAACCCCTGGATCCATTCCCGTGGTTCTCGTGATCTTACGGACCGTCTATATACACGATATCGTGCAAATAGTGGACCAATGCCGTGCAATATACACGACTGGAAAACTCCCTTCTCCGCCGTCAGACGCGAACGCTGATTGGTCTATTACTCTTTATGTACACGATATCGTGCGAATAGACACAGCCGTGATCTCAAATTACCCGAGGCTGGTTTGTTACTCGCATTCTGATTGGTCCGTTCGACTGAGTCGTGTATTTGCTAATGAAAATCAAGGGCGGGTAATTTGAGACAAACATGGGTGAATACTCTCCGAAGTCATACATTTTTCAGTAAAGATATGTTTAAGATGTTTGTTTGTTTGTGTGAATTCAAGAATATTTCAGCTATATCAGGGCGGTCTGTAAATAATCTAGTGTGGACCAGACAATTATTGTCATCATGAGCATCAATCTACAAAATGGGGATACGATGGCATGCATCAACCAAGTCAGCGAGCCTGACCACCCGATCCCGTTAGTCGCCTTTTACGGCAAACATCTTCACGGCTCACATTTTAAGAAGAACGCCTAGGATGTCCAGACTTTTTAAATGGTTGTCCCTTTACGAGAGACACTGAAATGTGTATTTGTCAATAAACTGTTATTAATAAACTGTTTATGTTTGTTTTTGTAGGATTCTAATCATCAATATCCTGGTTGCCGTGAAATATGTTCTGGTTCCCATGGCTGCTCAGCTTTGCCTTTAGGGAAGTAGCATCCATCCGTAAGTGGATTTGTTTTTCGTGCTCTATTTTTATTTTATTTTATATTTGTGGATGTAACACTTTTTAATGTGGACAAGTTGCCATGGTGTTACATTAAAACCTCCAGATCCACACGTGGCTTGAGGGAGCGGGGGCTGTAACCTGGATCACTTTATGATATACATGCTACTTACTTACATCTTTTACTATTTTCTTTGCATTTACCAATAGGTTTGGAAATCCATTTAGTTCTCCAGTAAAAGCAAAGTAGCTGTATCTTTTGATCTACATACAAAAACCAACCACTACAATATACTTTAAATAAAAAAGTTATGAATTGAAACAAAAGTTGTTGTTAACTATTTGATATTTATATGTACTGTTAACATCACTAAAACCGGTTTCATGACTTTCAGACAGAAGAACATATGTCGTCATTTCCTACTGTGCATGATACCCCTTACCCCTCATGATACATGAGATATTATCTTAAAATCATCCATAGCAGTTTTCATTAAAAAAACTAAAACAACAGAAAACAAATCAAAAACCTACTTAACAAGTATAGTTAAAGATCAATACTTAGAACTCTTTCGATCTTTCTCTTCTCAGCTGTGTTAATAATAGTAAGAAGAAGATGAAATCATCTGTATCCCTCGCCTATTGTCCAGTCTTCAAGACAATGATATGTGCAATCAAACGTGACATCAGTTTGTCCACCTGCTTCTGGAAGAGGTTGAATACAAGAGCTACTGTATACCACCCCAATGCCAAAACGAATATCAATCCCAATACTACGATTTCGAACCTGTAATCATAATTTGCTTAATTAGACTGGCCGATGAAAAAAATATACCAAAGGAAAATAGAACCTGTAAATTATGTAATTCTCCATCTTTTGCTGATGAATTTCACTACTTATTCAGATGCATTGTTTTTAAAAGAGAGAGGCAAATATTTCTATCATCATATTATACTGAATGGCCATCAACAACAAACACACAGGATCTAAAGAATTAATCGAGATTTATTGTAAAAATGTCCCTTAGTATTAAAAAGTGTAGGTAATTACATGTTGTTATTAACTGCCATCTTGTCTGCTATTTGTACATATACATAATAATTTATTGTAATATGCTCTTGTACCACCTTTTGTGGTCTTTGAGAATAAACTGATTCTGATTCTGAATAATACTCTGTACAAATATCCGCTTTCGTAAGGCTGTAATGATAAGTAAAGGTTATAATTATCTTCCACTGTGTGAAGGCTAAGAATATTTTGTATCCTTGAGCACTGCACAATTCACTCATTTAGATAATTATGATGAATGGTATTGTAGAACATTGTGATACAGGCAGGTATTGTTGCAGCCCTACCCTTTACAGTTATTTACTAAAGTAAGGTACACGGTACAGATAAGGTACACGGTACAGATGAGGTACAATAGGTTGTGTGAATGCTGACCCCTCAAATCCTGGTGAATTTCTAAAACTTCTACTGTGAATCCGTAGAACTCTTGTAAAGCAAATAATAGATCCCAACGTATTACGAATACCATGGTTAAATATTCTGATATTACGTGAGCCTGTAATCTGATATTAATGGTGCTAATTAATATATATATCAAAAGAAGTTAGTTAAGGTCGCCCGATTCTTTCAGATTACTATAGCTAAATTGTCATGCCATGACATATTAACTATAGTAATCTGAAAGAAACTTTTTTTTGTAATTTTTGTGGCCGGTAACTATTCCGCGTATGTTTAGGCCATAGGTCACGTGACAACACATGTTGTCTTGGAGAGTGTAGCACTGAACTTGACCCTACAAGGTTAACCGATTCCCATGCATAATGTTCTGTTTCATGTGTTTCCTGTTTAAGGCTGCAACGAGCAGTATTCCAGCTGAATAACGGCGTTCTACAGATTATCCCAAGATAAGACCAGCCCGTGACACAATGAACAACGTTTCACGTTGTTGAAGTACGACATCGATGCTCATGATATTAATCACTGGATTGTCTTGTCCAGACTCGATTATTTACAGACCGCCGTCATACAGCTCGAATATTGCTGAGTTCGGCGTTAAACATCACACCAACCAACCAACCAACATAGCGTACGTGATGTATTTGTAATATTGATGACGTTAGGTATGATGGCGTTAAGCGATATTCCTCACGCACGATGGTCTTTCTTCCAGGTAGCTCCATTGAGGTAACGACATCGAAATCGGGGTCTTTTTCGCTTGCAAATGAGAAGGGTGTCACGGTGTCGGACAGAAATTCGATTCTATTTACTGTCAAAGCGTGCTCTGATGCCGTCATTGTCCTCTCTGACATCGCCAGCATCAGTGACGATCAGGGAAACTACTTCCTCCTCATGATAGGCAAATCTGGAAATTCGTCACAGGTATTGTTTTTACTAAATCGAGGGCACAAGAAAGTATGCCGAGTTTTTTTTTATATAATTGGAAGAACTATTTTCTATTTAACCATCACCCAATCCTGCACCAGTTTGTGAAAAGAGATCTTTTGCTGGATAATTTTGTTTCAAAATAAATAGATTTAATTAAGACTGGGGAAGGAAATGAAGTGGCAAACACATGACCCCTACTGTGTTTGAAATATGAATTGTTCCGAAAACCCCTAAACATATTTAATGATTTTCAAAGGTAAAATGTCTAAGATATCCATCTCAGCATTTGGGTATTATGCGAGGTTTATAATTCTTAAACATTTCAGTCAAATTATATGTAAACAAATAAAATCCACGCAGAAGTATTCTGTGGGTGCTGACTAAGCGCCAATACAGTCCATTTTTGGGATACATTATCGCTAACTTAAGAGTGAGTGAGTGAGTGAGTGAGTGAGTGAGTGAGTGAGTATGGTTTTACGCCGCTTTTAGCAATATTCCAGCCATATCACGGCTTCACACATTGTACCCATATCGGGAATCGAACCCGGGTCTTCGCCGTAACGAGCGAACGCTTTAACCACTAGGCTACCCGACCGCCCCCGTTAACTTCAGATATTTACAACTGCAAATCAAACATATGATAACACCAACCGAGAAGCGTCGTTTCGTTTGCTCCACACTTTTTATTATGTTACCCCACATTATATGCAACATCTTCTGGAACATGATGTCGGACTATCTCTTCTTTTTTTAAGATCTATGAGTGAGTGAGTGACTTGGGTTTTACGCCGTTTTTAACAGTATTCAGTATGTCAGCATCATGTGGAAGGAAAGCCCGAAGTAATTCAGGTGTCAGGCTTCACCACTTTGGTGCTGACAAACCTAGAAACATAATCAGGGACAAATGGGATTTGAACCCTTAATCGTCAGGTTAAGGAAAGCCTTAGGGGCGGAACTGTGCACTGTGCAGTCGCCGATTTATTGTCATCTGTTCTCTCTTAACCTCTTTGATATAATGCAGATTGTATATACTAGTAAGTACTGGTATCTGTGCCTTAAATTAGTTCTGTCTTAGAGTGAGTGAGTTGGATTTAACGGCGCTTTTAACAGTATTCCAGTTATAACACGGCGTGTCAGCTTCATGTGCGAGGAAAGCCCGAAGTGATGCATGTCTTAGACGTTTACCACTTCGGTGAAACCCACGAGCACGGGTATGGTGCTGACAAACCTAGAAACATAATCAGGGCGAACCGGGATTCGAACCCACAATCATAGGTTTCTGGCGTGTCCAAGGAACGCAACTCTGCTGAGCGAATCGCGTCGGCTTAGGCGACTGGGCCACCCGTGCCCCCTTCTGTCTTAGACAATAGGTTTTGTTTTAGTTGAACTGTATCTGGAAGGGTATTAATTGCCTGTGTTGAACTGCATCTGGAACAAAACCTCAAAAATTAGATCTTCTGCCTGAAATGTTACACAACAATTGCAAACCTTATAAAAAAGATCCAAAAGAGTGAGTGAATACGGTTTTACGCAGCTTTTGACAATGTTCCAGAAATATCACGCCGGGTAACACCAAAAATGGGCTTCACAAACTGTTCCCATGAGGAGATTCGAACCTGGGTCTTCTGCGTGACGAGCGAACGCTTTAACTACTAGGCTTCCATACCGCCCCTGATCTATAAGAGGTTTACACTCAACTGTTGATTGAAATTGTCAATAACTATTTTCCGAGGAAACGTTTAAGCCTGAACTTTAAATGAACAAAGGGAACATAATTATTAAAAGAAGCAGTCCATGGCTTCTAATTGAAAATAACTAACACAAGGCCCCTTCTGTTAGTAGTGAGCATTACATACATGTTGTGCTATGTTATGAACTCTGAACTTTATTCAACCTTTGCACCTTCACAGCTTAACCGTTGGCGTCACCAACATGAAAATGCTGCCGTTGGCATATAGATCATAGAAGGTACAAAAAGGGAAATCCATATCTTAGACACCACTACGCACTCGCCTACAACCACGTTTCATCTAATTATCTGCATACATTGGGGAGCAATGGCAACAGTAGGTTTTCCAATGTGGTTGCCATGGAAACCAAACTTGACTTCGAACAATATTAGGAAAGGCTGTCGTCAGCATATTTAGCTATTTTATTAATCTTGATTAGAACTCCGTCGTCTTACTCGTTTATCCTATGTTATTAGGTAATGGACAGCTGTTTCACGTGTCCTAGGACGAGAGTTGTTCCTGGGAAGTTCGTGGACTGCAATGTTGCCAAACCCTTCTGGCTTCACTGGGATGGAATAGGTCTGTTCGAATTTGGCAAGGGTAGGGTCATTGGCAGACAGACGTCCCTGACCATGAACGGTCGTAAAGGAACCTACATGACCAACTTCTTGCAGATTACGTCAACCGGAAGCACGCCTGCCGTATTTTCATTTGAAAAAGGTCAGTATGACATTTTCAACACTGTGTCAATCGCGCTTAGAAGCGACACACTTGCACGGTCGAAACTGATCAAACTGGTATCACTCAACAATGTATTCAGTTTGATCATGGTTTCGATTATCAACTCTCAACGTTATGGTTATAACGTTCCAATGCTAAACATGATAATATCTATGTGAAATTGGGGAATAGGACATTCAGGCAAGAAGTAGGCATCCCCATTTGCACCAATTCTGTTCCCCTTCTTGCTAATCTGTTTCTTTAAGCAAATGAATAAAAACAATTCTGCTGGGACTGGCAAAATCAAAACAGGGAAATTTGGCCAAGAGGTATTGAATTTAATATTCAGGTTCACCGATGCTCTGATATCGTTGAACGTTCAGACAGCTAATTCCCCGCTATGGATTTATCCACCTGAATTATGGATGATAGAGACCAGTGATACCAACTTCTTGTTTGCTTCATATTTAGATCTATGCATAAACATTGAGCGTGAGTAAAACTATGCACAAGACTTCAACTTTAACACAGTCAACATTCTCTTTATGTCGAACAATATTATTGCAGCGCCAGTCTCTGGTGTGTAAGTTTCTCAACGTGTAAGGTACAATCATGCACGCGACTCTTGCTCAAAAGGTTCTCAGCATGCAAAGCTTACAAGCAATTCCAAATTCCCATCAGTGACAAAAATGATGTCCGATGCAATATTTTAACTTGTACCACATGCTCCCGTTTTTATTCGGTTGTACACTTGATTTATCTTTATATGTGTTTGTGCCACTTGGTATCATTACTTTTTGATTACAAGTAGTCTGAAATGTACAACGGACTCTGTTTTTACCAGATTTGCCATATAAATTTCAATATGAATTGGAGACTGGATCTGTATAACTAACAATACCAACCTCTCTCTCTCTCTCTCTCTCTCTCTCGCTCTCTCGCTCTCGCTCTCTCTCTCTCTCGCTCTCTCTCTCTCTCTCCCACCCTCTCCTCTCTCTCTTCCACCCTCTCCTCTCTCTCTTCTCTCTCACTCTCGCTCCCTCTCCTCCCTCTCTCTCTCTTGCCCACCCTCTCCTCTCTCGCTCACTTTCCTCTCTCTCTCTTCTCTCTCACTCTCTCTCTCTCTCCTCCCTTCCCCTCCCTCTCTCTCTTTCTCTCTGTGTCTCTCCCTTGGTTGTGCAGCGGCGTAAATTCTAACCAACTTACATTTTCTGTTCGTTATATTATACTTCATTCAGATCGTCCTCTGACGTTCACCTCGCCGAAGCAAGACGGGAGCAGCATTGTGTCTGTCAATGAAACGACTCCCGTCAACTCGACATTGCTGGTGATCAGTGAGTCACCATCATCAACGAATATAACGATGTCAGTAGCAGGCGAAGGTCACGAGTTCTTCTACGTTGAAGGCAGAGAACTTCGTGTGAAGGAACAACTGGACTATGAAACCACCACCTATTATGCACTTGTCGTAACGTAAGTAAAATGATGAGGCACGTCCTTTCATTATCAATGATAAGGTATGATAAGGACACGCGGAATCTGAAAAATTAAAAACATGGTGAAAACGTTATGATTTTTGGTTGGTTGGTTTGTTGTTTAACGCCGCACTCAGCAATATTCCAACTATATGGCGGCGGTCTGTCAATAATCGAGTCTGGACCAGACAATCCAGTAATTAATATTATGAGCATCGATCCACGCAATTGGGATCGATGACATGCATCAACCAAGTCAGCGAGCCTGACCATCCGATCCCGTTAGTCGTCTCTTACGCCTTTTACGGCAAGCATGGGTTGCTGAAGACCTATTCTACCCCGGAATCTTCACAAAACGTTATGAAAGTTATCCAACTTTACTCCGCAGGTCGCGGCATTTGAATACGTTCTTATAAAAAGGGTCCTAGTTTGATTAGTTCTTTTACACAACGACCTGCACAGAATTTTTTCTTTTGAAGTTTTTGATTTCAAGGTTGATCCTGGTTTCTCGTCTTCTTGGTTTCATGAAGGGCCTATCACCAACCATCTAGCTTCAATTTGGGGATTTCGCTCCATATCAAACTAACAAACTATGGTAGAACTGAAATATTCTTCAAAGTGGCGTTTACCCCAACCTGCTCTTAACTAAATGGGCGGTCCGGTAGCCTAGTGGTTAAAGCGTTCGGGTTCGATTCCCGACATGGGTACAATGTGTGAAGCCCATTTCTGATGTCCCCCGCCGTGATATGGCTGGAATATAGCTAAAAGCGGCGTAAAACCATACTCACTAACTCTTAACTAAATACGAGTGACAAACGTACGAGTGTCAATAATATACATCATATATATTTTAGGTATTTAGGTGTTTTAAAAAATAATCTAAATTTAACGTTGAAAGAAGAAGGAGTATAATGTGCATTCCATTGCGCTGGACGCGACAAATTCACATTTTACTGTAGCGACATATAGGGAACTCTCTGGGTTATTCTCATATCGCCTACACGCCAAATTGCCTGCGCTTCAATATGCCTACATGTTCTATATAGGCGATTGGGCACAACTCCTATGTCCAAAATAGACTGTCCCTACATGTCATTAAAGACATTTATTAAGAAATTTGATTACTAAAACAGCATGTGATGCTTATCCGCAGAAAATGATGCGTTTTATGTAATCCTTTTAAATCTCAATTAAAGTTCTCTAAAAGGGGTATAAAATAAGGGCCCATCTACATGTTTATAATTTCACCATGGCGATATGATACCAATAACTCCCTCTTTGTTACTGCAGTGATGCCAGAGTTTGAATAATGTTGCGTCTCAACTCGTTTCGATGGAAGCGTATTAGAGCCACAATCCAAACAACTATCATCTTCGTAGATTATTCTAGCATCTACGTCGATGAAACTACTCACATCTACGCAGAAGATACTTTCGTCTGCGTATATGATATTATACTGTACGTAGAAGAACGTATTATCTACTGTTGAATTATCTACTTTTGTAAGAATATTTCCTCGAGTTGTCGACAATAGTTGCGGGTCAGTTATATATAACCTCTGGCGCAATTAATAATGACAGATTTGTTTGACTTTCTACCTTGACATGGCTTTATTGAGGTACACTCTGAACATTATATAAAGTAAATATGTATTTCAATGTGTCACAATTACTCAAAGATGGCACATGTCGCACTCTCTCACAATCGTAATAAACAGAGTAGAGCAAAAAAGGTTCTCCAAACTACAAACAAACAACTATAGGTCATTATTCACAATTTTTGCTATTATGTATCAACCATATATGGTTTAAGTCGGAAATAGCACTAAACGTGGATTCTGATGATTTCTCGATTACGGAAATAAAAAGTAGAATCATATGATCGTTGATTGGAATTCCAGTTTCACCCTGACCATGACTTGTGGGTTGTTTGTGCCTAATCTTGTTCGTTTCCCAATACCTGGCCTCTGGCTTCCCTCGTTTCCCAATACCTGTCCCCTGGCTTCCCTCGTTTCCCAATACCTGTCCCCTGGCTTCCCTCGTTTCCCAATACCTGTCCCCTGGCTTCCCTCGTTTCCCAATACCTGTCCCCTGGCTTCCCTCGTTTCCCAATACCTGTCCCCTGGCTTCCCTCGTTTCCCAATACCTGTCCCCTGGCTTCCCTCGTTTCCCATACCTGTCCCCTGGCTTCCCTCGTTTCCCAATACCTGGCCTCTGGCTTCCCTCGTTTCCCAATACCTGGCCTCTGGCTTCCCTCGTTTCCCAATACCTGGCCTCTGGCTTCCCTCGTTTCCCAATACCTGGCCCCTGGCTTGCCTCGTTTCCCAATACCTGTCCCCTGGCTTCCCTCGTTTCCAAATACCTGTCCCCTGGCTTCCCTCGTTTCCCAATACCTGTCCCCTGGCTTCCCTCGTTTCCCAATACCTGTCCCCTGGCTTCCCTCGTTTCCCAACACCTGGCCTCTGGCTTCCCTCGTTTCCCCAACACCTTGCCCCTGGCTTCCCTCGTTTCCCAACACCTGGCCCCTGGCTTCCCTCTATTTGCACGCCAGGATATAACTGAAATACTGTTCAAAATTGCCCTTCCTTTTAGTGTGTCATCATGCAAGTATGAATGATTATTCATAGCTGCACGTTTGTAAGATGTTTTGATTCCTACCTAGGCATGTTTACATAGTGTACGTAGCGTAAATTAACATATTTAACTTCAATCACTATGCTGTGAGTTGGCTGTGATGTATTATCGTTGGCTCGAATCCCGGTCCGCCCTGATTATTTTTAGGTCTATCAGCACCATACCCGTGGTCGGGATGTCACCAAGTGGTAAACGTCTGAGACTTGAATCACTTCAGGTTTATCTCCAACATCAAGCTGCACGTCGTGATCCAGGTTATAATTGCACTACACTTAGATAGACAGGTGTCTAAAGTGGTTTAAAACCCAACACACTCACTCACTCACTCATGCACTCACAGATCGGACGTGGGGAAATCCGTGGCAGTTCTCATCTCCGTGCTTGATGTGAATGACGAGACACCATCCCTGTCGATCAGCCGCCATGTTGACATCCCAGAAGAGGTGTCGGTGGGCACGGTGTTTGGCGGGATATACAACGTCAGCGACCTCGACGAAGGAGATAATCTCACACTCACGTTGTCCGGTGATGTATTGCTTTATGTGTAGATTCAGGCTATGTAACCCTTTAAGTAGATGTAACTCCTCTTATAAACCTAACATGGTGTTGTAACCATCTCCCAGACGACCTTCCTTTTGTAGTAAGACCACTCAGCAGGTTTTACAATTGCTCCTCAGGTTTTACAATTGCTCCCCAGGTTTTACAATTGCAATTGTAAAACCTGGGGAGCAATTTTTAGCAACTTCATCATCTGACAAAGGGTCACCAAAACGGAAACAAAAGTCATCCTCATCTTTTTCTGCAGAATTTTCATCAATTAACTTATTTTGAGTAAGGAAAATATCGTCATCGTCAGACATCCTCACTTGTGAACAGTCAACGACACAATGCCATGTGGTACGACGCACGCGGTTCTTTCTGCACGTACAGCCCTCTTCTGCACGTGCAGTCCGCGCAGCGGCCCGCGATAACAACTGTTATAAAGCGTGTCTCGTTATACCGCGCTTTTTTGCGACCCGTATACCGCGTAAATATAAGCTCAAAAAATGACATAGATTAATGGATAGCGGTTTATAAGTTGGACAAACCATTCCACCTCAGGAATGGTATGATTGTATAACCGGGTAGGCACAGAAAAGCCTCGGACGCTACGCTACGCGTCTTCGGCTTTTCTGTGCCTACCCGGTTATACAATCTTACCATTCCTTCGGTGTCATGGTTTCTCCATTACTTCTCACTCAAGGTTGAGGGCGGTGGGGTAACGTTCGCTCGTCATGCCGAAGACCCGGGTTCAATTCCCCAAATGGGTACAATGTGTGAATTCCTTTTCTGGTTTTCCCAACCGTGATATTTCTGGAATATTGCTATAAGCGGCGTAAAACTATACTCACCCTATCAAGGTTTATTGTGTACATGCCGTACCGTGTTATACTGTGTGACAAGGTTAATTCTGTCCGAATGATTGTTACCATTCTATATTTCGAATGCATTTGGCTCAAAACAGTCAAAAATAACCTCGAGCAGCATTGGCAGGAACCCATATTGGAACTAGATTCGTTCACGTGACTGTCACATGACAGACACATCCTTGCGAAAGTCGTGAAGAGAACATGACAGTTCAACTTGTTTGCTTCTGTCGTCCAAGCAAAGTGTTCACCTAAGTTCTGTCAAACAGGAAGACTGTCATGTTGTACTTTATGGAGGGAAATGTGTGTAAAATTGACTCTGTTTATGAGATTTCTTATGAATATGGAAAGGGTTTTGTCACTTTTGTTTACAGAGAAATCATGCACTACCCCGTTTCCATCGCTGTCCGATGTAAAGTCAAACACCGTTGTGTCGTACCTAAAGTTGTCTCGAAGTAAAATTTTGGTTCCTGCATATTCATTCTTTCTTTTGTTCGTCATTTTTGGTTGTGCCGAACCTCGGATAACTCGAAGTATTTCCGCAGGTCGCACACCAGTGTTTGACTGTATTGTGTAGGTTGTGGAATAAACCGATGGACATGAATGTATGAAAGTATTTTGACTGGAACACAATTAAAATCGAAATTTGTGTATTTCCACAGGTGTAGACGTACAGACGTTTTTGATAGTGTACCAACCTTCCTTTGACGTCTGACGCTGATATAACTGAAATTCGGTTAAAAGCGGCGTTAACACCTGCTCACAAAATAATCTATATCACGTTCTATCTACTGCTTCCTTATCAATATATATATATATATATATATATCATCATCATGGTGTAGCTTAGTAGTTCTCCCGTACCGCCGAACGCTCGTTTTACTCGCCAAATAAACGGTTTGAAGCAACATTGTAATATTGGTGTGTTATTGCAAACAATGGCGTAGACACATTTACTCTTTCCTTAAACAGAGGTATATATAACATCACATATATTCTCGAGGTAACAAATTAATGGACTTGTGTCACATTGTTATCGACCCGTGAAGATCTGGGTTAGAATAGATTTTCAGCAACCCATGCTTGCCGTAAAAGGCGACTATGCTTGCTGTAAGAGGCGACTAACGGGATCGGTGGTCAGGCTCGCTGGCTTGGTTGATGCATGTCATCGTATCCGAATTGCGTGGATAGATGTTCATGACATCAATCACTGGATTGTCTGGTCCAGACGCGTTTATTTACAGACCGCCGACATACAGCTGAAATATTGCTGATTTAGGCGTTAAATAACAAACAAACAAACAAACAAAACAAATCACATTGTTATCAGGAGTATCTGAATGTTTGAATTGTATTTGTGATATCCCATCCTTCCGTACTATCATTGATGACGACAGTTCAAGGTTATACGTTTCCAATCCCAAGCTCTCGCGACATATCTTATAAAAATCTTATAAGAATTATTCTGTTGATTAGTATCATGGATGAAACATCTTTTTCAAAGAACAAACTTTTTAATTGGCATAACCTTGCTCTTTCTATTATTTAGGAAATGCATCGACCCTATTTGAAGCGACTGGTGATGGCCATCTCAAGGTCATAAAACGTCTCGACCGAGATGGACCAGAAGGCACGACTTATATTAAAAATGTGACCTTGACAGTAACTGACGTAATCGGACACACCGTCAGTGCCATGTTTGACCTCAACGTCCTTGATATAAACGACAACTCTCCTGCCTGCAAACTGGACTATCATAACCGGAGCATTGAAGAAAACAACCAAGACGGTCAGTTACTATGACAACGATGTTCAACAAAAACATATACCGGTTAACGTTCAGTGATCACAGATCTACTTGTGTGCGTGAACTAAAATAAGGCTGTTATTAAACATTTATCATTCAAAGCTGGTTTCCACAGAGATCAAACGATATCTCCTCGGAGATATCACTGCTTTGCAGACCTTGGTGACATCACTGGAATGATGACGTCATATTCAAATGACATCACTATTCTCTCTGTCACTGAAGCTCATTAGCATTAATTTTACACTGAAGACACTGGTTATTTGCTATTTACAAACTGAAAACGTTGCCCAAATGATTTGATATGATACATAGAATCTCACCCTCGTGTCTTCGAAGCTCTTATGTATCAAGATTCGTTGATCAAAGTAAAAATATCCATGGCAAGCTTTGGACATTTGTAACATGCATCAACTCGTCTTGCTATATTTGATCTCAGAAGACACTCGGGTGAGATACTCTATTTATTACATTACATAACAACACTGTTACATTGCTACTGGTGGAGTAAGGTTTGTGTTTATGGATTAAGGTGCAAATGCGGAATAACATCCGTCATTACATTCTAAATGAGTAAGGTAAATGTAAGTGTAGGTCACGGTTTATATACCTATTAAACCATATAATATCTCAATATGGTCGTTCCCTATGAAGATCCGGGTTTTCAGCAACCCATGCTTGTCGTAAGAGGCGACGGACGGCATCGGGTGGTAAGGCTCGCTGACTTGGTTGATGTATGTCATCGTGTCCCAATTGCGTAGATCAATGCTCGTGATGTCAATAACTTGATTGTCTGGTCCAGACCCGATCATTAACAGACAGGTGCCTTATATCTGGAATATTGCTGCCTAACAAACAATCATGTGGAGATAAACAAAAATTAAAATTAAAATGTTTGTCCAATTAGCTGAGTATATATATATATGTACAATGTGTAGATGTAACAATGAGCTCCATATATCGCTAGGATCACACTTGTACATGTGTTGCTGTTTGTGACTTACAAGTGTGTATTGCATGTTGATTCTTAACTGGGCCCGCCTCTGTGGCCAAGTTGTAGAGCGTCTCCCGGAGAGCGGAAGGTCCGGGGTTCGATCCCCGGCCGAGTCATACCAAAAGACGTTAAACGATGGTACTTGTTGTTACCCTGACTGGCGCTCGGCATTAAGGGGCTAAAACAAGGACTGGTCAGCTCGTAGTCAGTTAACTGTGTCTGAGTGGGGTATTTGTGTTAAACTGCGGTGTGGTAGGTCAGTGCCTAGTACAATTGAGTGAGTGAGTTGGATGTAACGCCGCTTTTAACATTATTCCAGTTATATCGCGGCGTGTCAGCTTCATGAGGAGGGAGGAAAGCCCGAAGTGAAAAGCTCAGACGTTTACCACTTCGGTGAAACCCACGAGCACGGGTATGGTGCTGACAAACCTAGAAACATAATCGGGGCGAACCGGGATTCGAACCCATAATTATAGGTTTCTGGCGTGCCTAAGGGACGCAACTCAGCACAGCGAATCGCGGCGCCTTAGACGACTGGACCAGCCGTGCTCCCCGCCTTGTACAAGCAGTCAGCACACACACACACACACACACACACACACACACACACACACGTACAGGTCGCATGATCAGTGCTATGATCTTGGATGCGTTGTTAAACCCCATTTCACCTCACCTCACCTGATTCGTAACTGGCCAGTGAAATAATATGATTCCGAGAACCATTACGATATGCAGTGACATATGATATAGAAATTACTTCATATTTATGTTAGGGAAAATACGTCAGAGCAAACGTCTTTGCTGACGCTTTCTGTAGTTTCAGCATGATAATGTTTGAATGATTAACATGCTTTGGCTAATTTGCGTTCTTATGCCACTGACAAAACATGTGCTTTGTCAGATAAAGACCAGTAAAATGTCCTATAAATATTCAGATATCATCCTGATGAATCTGACAACGATCTGCGATGATATGGATGCTGGAGAAAACGGGAACTTGACATACACAGTTCTTGGTGAGGAGTGGGTTATGTCATCGTTCGCTGTCCGGGAGGGGGCGCTAGTCGCACGTGCTCACGGCCTGGACAGGGAGAACACGAGTCAGTGTGACGTCACAACTTTCTTTGTCCTAGTTAAAGACAATGCCAAGAGAGTTAGAAGGAAAACATACATCCATGTCAACCTCAAGGTCAGTGTCTCAGTTGTTGTCACTGTTAGTTTGTTGTTGTGTCGTTTGTTGTTGAACGCCGCTCGCCGTTTAACTGTAAACCAGGTTAGCGAGCCTGACACGCGAGCCTGACTTACGACAAGCAAATCAAACCTGGGTCTTCACGGGTTTTGTCACTGTGAGCACGGCACGGGGACGCTGGTCGTCACAGTCCCTGAACCATATCAGTGTCACGTACGTCAAGCCCCTTCCGTAATGCAAAAGCCTGAATTGAAACCATCTCACTGGAGCTCCTTTATAATTTGAATGGAGTTCTTTGTTTCTATCAAAGTTATGTATTTTCAGAGACTAAGCGTTCATTTAGGAGCCTGTTACAGATAAGGTTACAGTATAGTGATCCTTGATATAAAGCGACAAAACCCTTTCCATATCCAATAGAAATCCCTGCTGAAAGCAGAGTCGATTGTACGATTCCGACTACATCATGAGCACATGTTTAGGAAGCACTATTGAATAGTAATGATACCAGGTGTTCGCGAAAAGACGTATCCTGCCCCACCGGTGGTACCCGTCACAAACACATGCAAAGGCAAATCAGTTGTCCACCTGCAAAAACACGGGAACATATGGTACAAGTCAAAATAGGGAATTGCATCGGACATCAATGTTTTGTCACTGATGCGTCAAATTTGGATATGTCCTCCTCGTGTCTACCATAAAACTTTTGGAAAGCTTTACTGAGGCCTTGAATGTTGTAACCTTGATCAAACAACTTCTGAGCAAGAGTCTTATGACGCTCTTTGAAATCGTGGTAATCTTGAGACATGCCCTAAAACTGAAAGATTGTTTCCTCAGCAACAGATGTGAAGGATATCACTTCTGCCAAAGAACAGACAATGAACAATCAGTTGAAAACATGAACTTCTTTAAAAGAAGGTAAATTTGTCCCAAAAGTGGGAGATCCTCATGTCAAGATCAGCACCTGCGCGAACTCCAATTGCGTAACAGGTTTCTGACGATGGCGACAAACCTCATCGTCACCATCAACATTAGGTCAACAGGAATACAGCGGTTAGCCAACTGCCTGTTTACGGTACCCCAGCATATCGTCCCTGATCCGGCAACATCGTATGAATAGCTTGTGCTGGGCGAAGACTGGGCGACGTTGGCAGCTCGTAACTGGAGAAGAGGTTCAACCTGTTAAAGCCTAGGGTATACCGACAACGAGGCGAACGACACATCCTGGCATGCGCAGAAGATGCCACCATACATGGGGAATCTGACAGTCCAATGGGTAGATGGGTGGTAGAGGGGTGGTACAGGGATGGTACAGTCGCGAGGTATTGCAACCAGTGGTCTTCCTTTTACAACAACAGAGAAAGGGGGTCATTTCAAACAGACCACACACCGGCAGAATCACCATGGACGTCTTTAGCCACCACAGCTTTGACGTATCGCCATGGCCAGCACACTCTCCATTTGAACATCCCTGGGCCTATCTGCGGTGAAAACTCAGACGTCGCCCACAGGATCCAGCAGCTGGAATAGGAGACAGATTCTCAATGTCTTCCGGTGGCTTACGTTTTCCACGAAGAGAAGGGTACAAGCTTCACCACTGCCAATGAAGCTCATACGATATACTGAGTGAGCTGCCACCGGCGGTTGTGATAAACTGTTGACTTTCAATGTAAATCTGTTTTCATACCCTCTGTGTGTTTGACCGCAGCTCACCCGTGTAATACTGAAGGTACATAGTTTGTTTCTGGCATGAATGGCGCTGAAAGACTTAATTTATATATCTGATATGAGCTGAAATCGTTTTGTTGGTTTTGATTAATATTGACAGTCAGTGTGTGTCTTTTCTTCTGTATTTCAGTTTACACATATATCATGGTTTCAGGTAATCCCTGTAAATGAGTTCCCTCCTCGCTGGAACTCTGCACGTACAGGTGGACCTGATAAGCTGGATACCATCCATGTGTACTCTGCCGCACCCACAGGGAGCGTCATTGCTAATCTGGCAGCTACAGATGAAGACGTTGGAGATGGTCCTCTTGTGTATAGCATCGCAGCAATAAAAACTGGTAATGAGTCTTTTAAGATGTATGCCATATAAACATTTAAATAGAGGTAGAGGTAATATACAAAGAACATTCAGGAACAATATCTTAAAATTAAAAGTCTAATATTATGACTACGACATCCTTTGATGTTTGAGTTCAGAAATAACGTGAATATTAATACATGTGTCGTGTTTTTGGAATGACACAAACGTATATATTAGTACATTATTAGTATATTATCTATTATTTATTAGTACTTTGATTCGGGAATTCATTTTCTATGAATAAAGATGAATTCATTTGCTTCATACGCGACGGAACATTTCAATATTGATATAACGAATGCTTTGACGGGTTATTTGACGTGTCAGTATTAACCATTATTATTGATGATAAGAATTTCTAAAAAAAATGTTGTTCACTTTCAGCTGAAGGGAAGGATGGTTTTAATTTATTATCAGTGGATAACCTCACTGGCGCTGTGAGCGTGAAGAACTCCCTAACGGGGGCGAAGTCCCTTCTTGTCAATGTGGTGGTCTCAGATGGGAAGCACAAAGTCAAGGCCACGGTGTCGGTCTCTGTGTCATCTCTCTCTGCCAACAGCAAACCAGTTTCCAATACTGCCTTATCTCCCCTTGGTCCTGATTTTGACAAACGTCTTTACACCATCGATGCTCCATCTTTGACAGACAAAGGGCGGTCTGTCCTTACATTCACAATGAGGAATATGGCAACTTGGCACACTGTTAGAGTAGACAGTGCATCGGTGCCATTCTTTAGCATCAGAAACATGAGAGATTGGCAACTCGTGTTTTCAGGAACGTACAATGGCCAAACTCCAATACCAAACATAGTTAAGTTATTTGTTCACAACACAAAAACAAATCTGGATCTATCAACATCGTACGTTGTTTTAAAACAGAAGAAATGTGGAACTACCTCAAAGTCTGATACGTCACATTCAAATGATGGGAAAGCATCAAAGTCAAACATGAACCATCTCATAAAACCAAGGGTGTCAACAAAGATGGCAGAACATCTCTCCGGAGACACCTCCAGTCAGATGAGGGATCTGAATCCAGGGATAAAGCCAAAGGCCCAATGTAAGAAAGCTGTTTGACCTCTACGTAACCTACACAGAGCGTAATAAATTAACATGCAAGGTCTCATAGCAGCCAGAGTTAGTGTCGACATCTAACTGAAATAGCAGTTGCTCATGATTTAGTTAACAGGAAACTTTTAACTGAACTCATCAACTTCAACTTAAACCGAATGGTCGGCTGGGGTATTTAAGTGGGATATTCATGTAAAACTGCGGCATGGTATCTCAGTGCTCTACCTGTATAAAACCGGCATGTGTCAGGACTAGCTGTCACACGCACGCACGCACGTTCGCACGCACGCATGCAGGTCGCTCCTATGTAAGTGAATACTCTTGAACGTGACGTTAAACCTCATTTCCCCTCACTTCAACCTCAGACGAGCAGATATTGCAATCTGTCAAAAATAACTGTTTGACATAAACTGAGACTTTCTCGAGGGATAATATTTGTGTTTTGTCAATTGAAAACAAGCCAGTAGGCCCATACTAATCCACATCCAACAAGTCTTTTAATAATGTTACGAGCGGAAGGTTGAATGTTTGTCTAGCACCGCACACCCCGGGGTTAAATAGGTCTTCAGCAACCAACACTTGCCATAAAAGGCGTCTATGCTTGTCGTAAGAGGCGACTAAAGGGATCGGATGGTCAGATTTGCTGACTTGGTTGATGCATGTCATCGTATCCCAATTGCATGGGCCGATGCTCATGATGTCAATTACTGGATTGTCTGGTCATCATATAGCTGGAATAGTGTTGCGTGCGGCGTTAAATAACAAACAAACAAATAATGTCACATGTAAGAACAGCCTATCAGATTTTGTATCCACAGCCCAGATAGAGAAGGGGACATCTCATACAATGTTTTTTTCGTTATCTGAATTATATACTCATAATTTTGAAACCTGACAATATTATGCGGTTGCACATGAAGATCCTTATTAGATTGGCCATCTTATATATTGTCTAACATTTATCCAAATCTGTTCCAGTATGCATGCCAGCCTACTCGATGACTACCAAACTTCTTATGGCAGCATGTGGCGGCCAGGGGGCAATTCTTGGCGGAGTTCTCATGATCTATGTCTGTAAAAGACTCGGAGGGTAACTTTCCTGTCACTATATCACAATGAAAGTCTTTAGGAATATGACTGCCAATTGAAAGATGTGTGAAGACGACGATATTATATTTCTGAATTAAAGTGTCCTGGACAACTCGTATACTAAGCATGACACTGTGTGTTAGTTGAGATCAGTATGTAGATGGTGTGGTGATTAAGCAATTCCCGTTTGATTCATTATTTGTATTGGAAATAGACATATGTTGACATGTTGTGTGTTGCAGAGAAAAGAAATCTACCGTGGTGCCGGTTAGGAAGGATCCCATTGGCTGTGATGAAGGTACATATTCTGTGTCCTTTTCACTTAAGGATTGACCGAGTATTTACTCCTGGTTGATCGAGGTATGAGTTCAAGAAACGATGTGCAAACAGTTAGAATCCGCGTAGTGAATGTTTACATCGGTTATTCGATTCATACCTCAGCGAACAGAAATAATTACACAGTCAATACTTATGATAAAATTCGAAAACGAAAACATGGGTTATCAACAATAGTTTAAACAGAAGCAAATATATAAATCAAAGCAGACAAATATGACGAGATTGTTATACATTCCAGGCGTAGAGATACATACTGTGGCTTGACATCTGGCTGGTGGTTGTTTGATTTATGCACATAACTTGACATGTTCTCAAAGTAAGTAGTAACGGAAAATAACATCAAACAAAGTCCATGGGACCTGTCAATCAAGGCAAGAGGAGAGAAAAAACTGCAACTGTTACAAATGACATCAAATAGGTCAAGGAGAAGGTTCAAAATATCATCGTCAGTAACCGCCAGATTCAAACATTAGTTTTCTGAGAACTGGAAGATGTAGTTGAAAAATGCGAGTTAGAAATGAAACCGGAAGACATGAGATTGTGTGATGACGGTGTTGATGCAGTGAGTGTTGAAAGACGGCACTATTGTTTTGTTGTTGGTATGTTTGATTCAGAAAAATAGCACTGGAATGTTACCAGGCCTGATAATATAGGTGATACCGGTTAGTAGAAAGGGAATCATTATTGGAATTCTGCGACATTCCGTGCGTAGTGATGACCGTAGTCCGCGTCGGTGTGCGTGGCTTACTTTATTAACATTCATTGGGTAATGAATGCAATAACACGTGACCATGTCAGATAACCAGAATGCAGGAATTACAATGCTCACAACAAAAATGTAGTTATATCTAGTTTAAAACGAATAATACGACCCGTGTTGTTTTGGCCTGAGAATGTTCTGTGTTCACCTTCATACCATTCGCTCTTTGTTGCAGTGTGTGGGACAAAGGAAATACCAAGAAAGACTCCTCAACTACTGGAGAAGTCGGGGAGGGGGAGTCACACGAAACAGTTGAAAGATGTTGCACCATTTGAGGAAGATCCCACAGATATGATTATAGATCTGGAGGATAAGGAAAATGATGACCAGGTTGGTGACGTTACCACGAATATATGTGGGGATGAAGGGGGAACTCTGATTGAAACGGGAGGGGAGGAGATAGATGAAACAGAGGATGGGTTAAATGATGACAAAGATGATGACAATGAAGTAATGCCAGAAGAGGTGAACACGGCTGGTGAAGAAGAGGACAAGGAAACACAACCTACTGCAGGTAGTGATATCGAAGGAGAGCCAGATTTGGGAGATGTAAAAGAGGACACTCTTGAGGAGGGAGATGATAGTAAGGACGGACACAGCATGGACCCAGACCGAATGAGGCATGATTTGGAAGATGTAAAAGAGGACACTCTTGAGGAGGGAGATGATAATAAGGACGGACACAGCATGGACCCAGACCGAATGAGGCATGATTTGGAAGATGTAAAAGAGGACACTCTTGAGGAAGGAGATGATAATAAGGACGGACACAGCATGGACCCGGACCGAATGAGACATGAACCGTCTGGCCTTTCTGGTGATGTAGATGATGAAGACAAAGTTGACGTGGAATCTCCTGGAGACGATGAGATGAGGATGGTAGAAGGTGACAGCCTCGGGTCTCTTAGAGAAACTTCATATCAGGTAAGAGCCGAGCCTTCGTTGGATAATGATGATAACATATATAATTCTGGTAACGAAGTAAGCAACGCTGGAACTCACACGGAGGAAGGTTCGGAATCTGATACAAGATTTGTATCAGAGGACATAGACACTCGGGAACTTCCGACCTCTGAACTCAAACCGGAAGTGATGATTGAGGAGCCTCACCCAGAAGTATCTGAAGGGCTGGAGAACCTAACAGTGCCAGATAACTCAGAAGCGAGTGATGAAGAAAATGAGAAAATGGAGGAAGATGAAGATGAAACAGAAAATGATGAAGAGGAGGAGGAGGAGGACGATGAGGTTACTGGCGATGTTGCAGTTACATCAATGGAGCGAGGAGAGGAGACAACCGCAATGGGAGAAGGAGGGGAAGTCGTGAAGAAACGCAGAAAAATTAGGAAAGTTAAAAAGGAAAAGCCCAAAAAAGAAAAGAAACCTAAAATCAGAAAAATAGACTTTACTCAATCCCCGTACAATTTTCAAACAAAGGAAACAAAAGAATGACATTTGTGTACCAAGTGTTTGTATTGAGTCACGCCCTATCCATGCTTCGCATGCATTTATGTATTAGATACATGTATATTGCTTGACATATATTTCACAACATTGTGCTTTTTAACATCAAGGATGTACAATGCCACTTTCGAAGACGATGGAAGTTCACACTCACGAACATAGGCGAATATGTTTATAGGAGTACATGGGATATTTTTACGAATATATTAACAACGATCATTTGTGTCTGTACTCTTAAGTCAGGTTCAAAAACAATCTTAAACCTTAAACCAAACTGCCGGGCGAACGAAGTATACACTTGAAACTGGATTTGACCAAATTATTGCAAACGTTATCGAAACGTTACTAGACTGAAAGGAGTTGTCGAAACACTGATAACTTAAGGTCCAACACACAACCACGATACCCGTATCAAATACACCATCATCATGTCACTATCTCTTGTTTGTTTCTTTTATAGCCACCATCAAACGTGGGTATATGTTTTCTTTTTCCCGGCAGTTTAAGGCTAATCAGCGTAATTTTGTGAGGGGTCACGCAGACAAAAAGAGATAAAAGTATTCAAAAAACGTCGCATTTTCAAATCCAATGTGGAGTTCAGTTGGAACTGGCATGAGCCATTTATACCCACATGAACTGTTACTTTTCATGTATTGCACGTGCAAGGGCTTAACCGCTAGTTGCGCTCACTCGTGTGTTTTAGTAGATTTTTCCACCACCTTCAATCTTGCAATATTCATTGATTTTAATAGTCGTTGTCCATTTATATTGAAATACACAATCAATGTGACAACGTGTTCTTCAACTGTTAATCACGTTGTCAACGTTCTCAGATCTTTTAACTTGTAGGCATATGTTCACGTTTGACACACTACATACCTAGGTGACCCTTCAATAATGAGGCTGAGAACATATTAGCTTAAAGAAATGACTTTGAAGAAAACTTTACCTGTAAAAACCTCAGAGTCACATTTTCCTTCCTTTCGTTAAAATGCTTGTTACTCATCTCTTCACTCGGTCTTTCAGAGAGGAGTATAAAATAGTGTTGCGCGGTGCGAGGTGTGGCCATGCAAGACGATGGTGCTTTTTGTGCGGGTGATGGAGGATGCTCAACGGTATATCTGCTCCAGAGTTGTTCCTCTGATTCATGACTGAATTCATTGACACATGAGTAATATCCTTATATGACCATGCATGGCTGCAATGGTCTCAGCGTCAAGTTGGCTTGCTGGCGACATCCAAACTGTAATTCTGGTTCTCTCAAAATGTCCTGTTGATGGTCACTGAACAGGCAAGTTTCTTTGTTTGTGGAGCACTCATCAAATTCACAGTCCATGGTAAAGGATGTTCTATGACTGTGCTTCGCACTGTGTTATACAGTGCTGTTCAAGTTTCTAGTTCGACGTTCTGTTCAGTATAACGGATAATTTGTTCATGTCTGTATACTTCTGCTGCCTTGAAATCAACAGGAAGGAGTTCTTATCAATACATCATGTATTTTAATGAACAATAAACTTACCTTTGATTTTGATATGATCATATCATTATCTGGGACAGTATGCTGCTTCTAGTTGGTTTTATTTAATACTGTATCAATAATATCATTTGATAAATAAATATTGTAATGAAATGTAGAAACCAGTGTTGACGTAATGCATACATAGACGATGCCATGCAGAAACCAGTGTTGACGTAATGCATACATAGACGATGCCATGCAGAAACCAGTGTTGACGTTATGCATACATAGACGATGCCATGCAGAAACCAGTGTTGACGTAATGCATACATAGACGATGCCATGCAGAAACCAGTGTTGACGTAATGCATACATAAGTGATGCAATGTTGAAACCAGTGTTGACGTCACACATACATAAGTGATGCAATGTTGAAACCAGTGTTGACGTCACACATACATAGATGATGCAATGTTGAAACCAGTGTTGACGTCACACATACATAGATGATGCCATGCAGAAACCAGTGTTGACGTCACACATACATAGATGATGCCATGCAGAAACTAGTGTTGACGTCACACATACATAGATGATGCCATGCAGAAACCAGTGTTGACGTCACACATACATAGATGATGCCATGCAGAAACCAGTGTTGACGTCACACATACATAGATGATGCCATGCAGAAACCAGTGTTGACGTCACACATACATAGATGATGCCATGCAGAAACCAGTGTTGACGTCACACATACATGGATAACGAAATGCAGAAACCAGTGTTGACGTCACACATACATGGATAACGAAATGCAGAAACCAGTGTTGACTTAATGCATACATACGTAATGCATTACATTGCATTTGTTTAGTATTGTTGAATCCGGTAAACCTAGTCAGTAGTTAATATCTAGCCAATGATGTAACCAGGGCATGCGTGGCTCATTGTCGCGAACACTGGTAAAAATCATGGGAGACACACACAAGTAAAAAATTATACCAATGAAATGATAGTAGAATTATAGTAATATTATATATACTGCAAATACTTCGAAATTATATATAAAGGCACAACAGCTGTATCATTTCAGTGTCATTGTTACCAGTGGCCTGTACTAGAAGGTGCAGGGGGGGGGGGGGGGGGGGGGGTCACTAGCTGTGTCTGTTCATGTCCTTCAGGCCGATCCCACTACCGTATGGTCGGAGATGGTAGATGTAGTATTCTAGCAATAACAAGCGGTGAGGGGCCACGTAGTGGAAGGGTATGGCGAAGTCGGATATACTCTCGGCTCCCTGAAACATATACCACAGCGTACGGCTCGAACATCTCATATTGTTCCAAACAAACTTGAAAAACACAATTTCCCCCTATGTTTTACACACAATATTTTTACCTGGACATGCTGAAGTTCTGGAAAAACTGCGTCCTGAAGAATACGTAGTGAAAAATGCGTAGCAAAGAATGGGCGTAACAATGGATCGATTCAGAGAAAACAACTATTTGTCTTGAAGCAGTGACGAACAACTTTCTGTCTCTAACAAACCACCACCGAATCCAACACGCAGAGCAATTGGGAATGAACGTTGACAGCAGCAATTTAACCACTCACTCACTCAACACACACCGTCCCATCCATAAAATATGAAATATATTTACCACACTTTAAACCTTAAAATAGCAATTGATTTTAAGTGTTCCTTCTAAAGAATAACAGGAAGGGTTGATAGAAACATTTTGGGGTGTTCTGGTTTGACCAAAGACCAAAGACAGGCAGAGCAAGATAATTTATTAGATTTGTCATATTCGTTTGATAGTGTTCAGTATGCCGGTATAGAGGCTAATTTCAATCAGGCAATTTATGTCTCCAGCATCATAAGCTGTTGTTCGGCCTTATCATTTAATTATTTCTGACATACTTGTTTATTATTTTTCATTTCTCATCCAACATCTATGTGACGTATGAAGCATCGATCTTCATCGATCAGAAATATAAGTTTGAGTGTGTTTATTGGCTCCGCTTTAAACAGTATTTTATCTGTATCGTATCCTCTTCACGAAAGCCCGAAGTGATGCTGGTCTTATAATTAAACGATTAACAGGTGTGGTGCTGACAAACCTAGACACAATCAAGGTGAATCTAGGATTCTAACCAACGATCTTAGGTGTCTGTCGCGCATGAGGGACGCATCTGCACAGCGAATTGCGGTGTTCAACTCAAACTAACTTACACACTCTCTCATACCTGTTTCGCCCCGTCAGCACCGTATACCAAACGCCAGGACGTCTGTAGACCGTCCTCATCCCCAGGTTCTACATGCACTTGCCGAATGCTACATCTTCTGAACCACCATCACGCCTGCACAATTTGGGATCACGACCCTTCTCCCCATATCTCCTCAGCGCTTCCTTACTCAGCACATAACCCCCTCCGCCGCTGTAGTACCCTTGTTTAAAAAACAGCAACAGGGTATGAACGTATTTGTAGTCGTAATAACTTAGTTACCTTCACGAAGTGACAAGTTAAATATATCAGGGTCCAACGCTTTGTGGTCGTGCCTCCACACATATTTATGTTGGTGACCTCAGCCATATCAGTGGAAATATCACGTAGCTCTGTCTGGAGGTATATATTTATGTCTCTGAATGTTTCTTCCTACTATATATGAACTGCATGAGGAGAATATAACACCTCGCAAATGACTTGCTTTGTGTCATCTCATGACCTCAATATCTTGCCGAGCAAAGGCACCTTGCAAGACATGGCAATTAACGAAGGATATGGTCTTTGTCCGTCAATTCAGAGTTAATAATAACTGCAGGAATGTAGTCATCGCTTAATTCGGGGTAAAAACACTGGCACATGTGTGTAACACATGGGTTAACTTATTGCACGTTTGACGTGAAAGTGACTCAGAATTGTTTCCAAATATTAGAAAAGTTAAGATTAATCCTTCAGACAAGATGTCTTGTAATTAGAGAGTTAATAATGTGAAGTTTACTCTGTATGATACACAGGACAGAGAAAATGCACAAACTGTATATCAACTAGCCCCCACAACCCTTTCTCTCCGTTTTTCTTATATCCCCGTTCCAAAGCTGCATGGCACTTTATATGCTCCAGCAAAGTGCATGCTTCGTGTTCTAACGCCATATTATTCCCACCCTGAGACACTTGCCTTCAAATACGAGTACTTATATGTTAGATCATGCCACAATATAAACAAGTGTCCAAAAGAAACGATACCACCTGTTTGCAACGACATAAAAGAAAAACTAAACAATGCAGAAGTTTAGGATTGGTGTTATGCTTTTGACAAATCCTTTCACAACATCTGTACAAAAATTTCATTTCAATAAAATCTGTACAACCAATATGACAAGCCTTTAAAGATGGGTGGGGTCGAAAAATGAACATTTCGTTAGAGCACTGATCACAGAAACAACGGGAAATGTCACACCACACGTCTCAAAGTCAAGTCAGTAGCGGGTATGTCCACCGTGAGCATCAATACATGACAGAACACGCCTACGGACTGATGACGTCAAACGTCTGATGACGTTGGGAGTGATGCGTTGCCATTCCTCGAGGAGACATCGTTTCAAGTCCTGGACGTTGACTGGAGGCACACGGCGACGTCGGATTTGCCGATCGAGGTGGTCCCATAAGTGCTCGATGGGATTCATGTCCGGTGAACATGCGGGCCATGGCAAAACCTGTACGTTGGCGTTGGCAAGGAAGTTCTGTGTCAATCTTGCTGTGTGTGGCCTTGCATTGTCATGTTGGAAAAGGAGTCCACGAGGCTGTTGCTGAATAAAGGGCACCACAACAGGCCGTAGGATGTCATCAAGATAACGCTGTGCATTCAGGTTTCCACGAATTACGACAAGCATCGTTTTGACGTCACCACATATGCCACCCCAAACCATTAACCCTCCACCTCCAAACGGGCGGACCTGTTGGATACAGTTAGGCGCCAAACGTTCACCAAATCGTCGGTATACAAGCTGCCGTCCATCGTTTCTAAAGATGAGGAATCTGCTCTCATCAGAGAACATAACACGTGCCCAGTCCCGCCGTTGCCAACGTCGAACTCGCCTGGCCCAGATCAGTCTGTTGTTCCGGTGTCGAGGCGTCAGGAACGGTCCGCGGTAGGGATGACGTGGCCGGATACCATACTGCCGTAGTCTCCTGTAGACGGTCTGTCGACTGATCCTGTGTCCCAGTGCTGTAGCCGCCGTGGACGTCGCAGTTACGGTGCGGTTCCTCAGGTGTAATACCCGGATGTAACGATCTTCACGGGGCGTGGTTACTCGTGGTCTTCCACTCCTGGGCCTGTCTGACGTCTGACCTGTCTGACGTAACCACTGCATCAACCTGGTGATTGTGATGCGTGCGCAGCCCAACCTTCTGGCGACGTCGACGTGTGACGCTCCTTGTTGGACCATTCCAACGGCTCTCTCTCTCTCGATGGCTGTCAAACGTGGCATATCTTGTGTTCTTTTTGTTGCTGTGATATCAACGTGTCTGATCAGCCGTTTTATTTTTTTTATGCACTTGCAGAACATGCTAGAGAGGGAAATGTCACTCTCACGAAATTTACGTTTTTTCCCGGAAGTGATCACGTGTTCCCGGTATTTTTTATCGACTATGCTGTGTTTGGGATGTGCAATACGAATTGGCATGTTTTCATACTAGACAATTCACTTAGTAAAAAACAATTTTGAAAATAAGTTGGTATCGTTTCGTTTGGACACTAGTTTATATACTTAGACATGTTTGTTTGTTGTTTAACGCCGCACTCAGCAATATTCAAACTATATGACGGCGGTCTGTAAATAATCGAGTCTGGACCAGACAATCCAGTGTTTTACAACATGAACATCGATCCACGCAATTGGGATACAATGACATGCATCAACCAAGTCAGCGATCCTGACCACCCGATCCCATTAGTCGCATTTTACGGCAAGCATAGTTGCCTTTTACCGCATTATGTACCTATTTATATTTCATGGTGTATCTCCTCATATCTCATGGTGTATCTACTCATATCTCATGGTGTATCTACTCATATCTCATGGTGTATCT